AGAGTCACACTTTAGAATAGCCTTAGGACTCCCACTCTCCCCGACTGTCCTGGATACCCCATAATCAATCAAGATCTTTTGGGGGGATGGGGGAGAGAGAAAATCAGCTGGACAGAAGGGAACTATCTCCCACACAGGATGTGCCAATGAAACTTCTACAAGACATTACTTATTAGAGCTGGTTGAAAAAAAAGTTGACAAAAGTTTTCCATTGGAAAACGAAGTTTCATCAAAATCTAAATGTTTTGTGGGAAGTGTCAATTTCAACAAAATTTGACAGAAGAAAATGAAAAGCAATGGACTTTCTTGTTTCATTACTGTCAAAACCCTGTTTCAATAAGGTGATAGAAATGTTTTGTTTCAAACTTTATCCTTTCAATTCATTTAAAAAATATTAAAACATTAATTTCATTATATTAAATATCTTATATAATAGTTTAAACATTATTGAAACCTTTTTGAAATAAAACACTTTTTTTCAAAATTTCCATTTTGTGGAAAATGTTAACATTTTGTTTCGATTCAGAATGAAAACAATTCTGAAGTGTCAGTTTCCTACATAATGAAAATTCCATTTTCCAACCAGCTCTATTATTTACATAGCACTGTGTCTTTGTATGGCATTTTACAGAGCATGGCACTTACAAGCAAGCAGTAGCCAGAGAGAGTCTGGAGCTAATGCAGTCCTCTGAGGAACGGTCAGAGGGCAACCCAGGTTCAGAGACCACACCTCATTCTGATACCTGCCTGGCTCAGATGGCAGTGAAATACTTTGAGACAGGCACATATTGACTGTCAAGGCTAGAAACCTGCAAAACCTGAAAATCCTGGAAGCCCCATCATCTCAGGCATTGGCACTCTGACAGCAGGATTGTCTAGCTATGTAGACTGCCTCCTCAGGCCTTACGCTACCAGCACTCCCAGCTATCTTCGAGACACCACTGACTTCCTGAGGAAACTACAATCCAACGGTATCTTCCTGAAAACACCATCCTAGCCACTATGGATGTAGAAGCCTTCCACACAAAGATGGACTACAAGCCGTCAGGAACAGTATCCCCGATAATGTCACGGCAAACCTGGTGGCTGAACTTTGTGACTTTGTCCTCACCCATAACTATTTCACACTTGGGGACAATGTATACCTTCAAATCAGCAGCACTGCTATGCGTACCCGCATGGCCCCACAGTATGCCAACATTTTTATGGATGACTTAGAACAACGCTTCCTCAGCTCTCGTCCCCTAATGCCCCTACTCTACTTGCGCTACATTGATGATATCATCATCATCTGGATCCATGGAAAAGAAGCCCTTGAGGAATTCCACCATGATTTCAACAATTTCCATCCCACCATCAACCTCAGCCTGGACCAGTCCACACGAGATCCACTTCCTGGACACTACGGTGCTCATAAGCGATGGTCACATAACCACCACCCTATACCGGAACCCTACTGACCGCTAAGCCTACCTACATGCCTCCAGCTTTCATCCAGACCACACTACACAATCCATTGTCTACAGCCAAGCTCTACGATACAACCGCATTTGCTCCAACCCCTCAGACAGAGACAAACACCAACAAGATCTCTATCAAGCATTCTTACAACTACAATACCCACCTGCTGAAGTGAAGAAACAGATTGATAGAGCCAGAAGAGTTCCCAGAAGTCACCTACTACAGGACAGGCCCAACAAAGAAAATAACAGAACGCCACTAGCCGTCACCTTCAGCCCCCAACTAAAACCTCTCCAACACATCATCAAGGATCTACAAACTATCCTGAAGGACGACCCATCACTCTCACAGATCTTGGAGACAGGCCAGTCCTTGCTTCCAGACAGCCCCCCAACCTGAAGCAAATACTCACCAGCAACCACACACCACACAACAGAACCACTAACCCAGGAACCTATCCTTGCAACAAAGCCCTTGCCAACTGTGTCCACATATCTATTCAGGGGACACCATCATAGGGCCTAATCACATCAGCCACACTATCAGAGGCTCGTTCACCTGCACATCTACCAATGTGATATATGCCATCATGTGCCAGCAATGCCCCTCAGCCATGTACATTGGCCAAACTGGACAGTCTCTACGTAAAAGAATAAATGGACACAAATCAGACATCAAGGATTATAACATTCAAAAACCAGTCAGAGAACACTTCAATCTCTTTGGTCACTTGATTGCAGACCTAAAAGTGGCAATTCTTCAACAAAAAAACTTCAAAAACAGACTCCAACGAGAGACTGCTGAATCGGAATTAATTTGCAAACTGGATACAATTAAGTTAGGCCTGAAAAAAGACTGGGAGGGGATGGGTCATTACACAAAGTAAAACTACTTCCCCATGTTTATTCCCCGCCCCTGCTGTTCCTCAGACATTCTTGTCAACTGCTGGAAATGGCCCACCTTGATTATCACAACAAAGAGTTTTTTACCCCCCGCTCTCCTATGTGATCACTCATTACAGTGTGTATGGTAACACTCAATTGTTTCATGTTCTCTGTGTATAAAAATCTCCCCGTTGTATTTTCCACTGAACGCATCTGATCAAGTGAGCTGTAGCTCACGAAAGCTTATGTTCAAATAAATTTGTTAGTCTCTAAGGTGCCACAAGCCTTCCTTTTCTTTTTGTGGATACAGACTAACATGGCTGCTACTCTGAAACCTGTCAAAAAAGGCTAGAAAAGTAATTTTATGGAGCTTAGTAACACACAATGCAAGATTATGATGGCAACCAGTGTATGTTGGGCTGACTAATGGTTCCAAAGAACACGGTATTGGGAGAATGATTAGAAAAATTCTCTTCAGTTTCTTACAGCTGAACAGTTTTGTGATCAGTGACCTGTTTTTCCAAAGCATTAGCCTTAAGCCCCATGATCAAGCCATTTTGTAAAATCTTGGGTGGCCTTTATTTTTCCGTTTTTCCACTGAATGCATCTGATGAAGTGGGCTGTAGCTCACAAGAGCTTATGCTCAAATAAATTTGTTAGTCTCTAAGGTGCCACTAGTACTCCTTTTCTTTTTGCGAATACAGACTAACACGGCTGCTACTCTGAAACCTTTATTTTATATAAATTTATCTTGATACATCTCACTTGTAATATCTGAACCTTGGCCAAGTTGACACTGCAGATATAATTGTAAGTTTCCTCCAGGATATTGAGTATTTATTATCCTCTTTCAAATGTCCACATGACTCTAGCACATTTCTTTCCATTTCCAGATGAATTGTTTTAACCGCACCAGATATGCCCTGTTGCTGTACATCCTTCCCTGCTGGGAGCATGAAGGGAGATTCCAGTATATCTGAAGAGGTTTGAGAACTGCCAGGCCAAAAATGGTGACCAGAATTATTGTTCCTTTGTGACCACCTTTACCATTTCCACTATCAGCAGAGTGGGAGGCATAAATGAGATCCTCCTGAGATAAGATTTCCATAGCCTGATTCAGTGCAATTACTGGCTGGAAGGGAAGCAGGAAATTCTGCAAGGTCCCACTGAAAGGTATCCATGCATGAGATCAACATGCCCAGGGGCTCGTTAGGGATTTTAGCACAGAAAGCGGGGGAAGGGGAAATTTGTGTTTGACAAATCAAAGGCGCTATCTTCTGCTTTCTCTCTTCTGAGATAAAGACTATCCTGGCGAACAACCCATAGATGCTGGAGATTTGTGAAGGCTGTAGTTGGATCTTCCCCCTTCTTTATTTCAGAGCCAGGCTCATGAAGAGATATAATGAGAGTTGCTATACCCTGCTATGACTTGGGATGAGGGTCTGACGAGATGGTATGACAAAGCAGGACTGTTCTTAATGTTACCTCTGACTATTGTGGCGGCGCCTCAGTTTTCCCTATGCAGTTCTTAAGTATCTAGGTGGTGGGATAAGGGTGTATGATTGTTGCAGAGCCCTAGGGGGCAGGTGTGTGCAGGGGTCTGGACACAGAGAATGGCTGACACCCTGTTTCCTGGCAACTGATGGCCTGGCCCTTCCCCCCTGCAAGGTGAGAGCTAAAGGGTTGGAGAACAAAGGAATCAGGTGCCCTCCTGGCCTGGGAAAGGGACAAAGCCCAGAGGAGGGTGAATAGGGCTGGAGAGAGTTTCAGTTTGGGGCTGGCTGGGGACATGGAGTGAAGTGCAGATGGGGTTCTCTGGCTCACTGCCCCCCAAAATGGACCCAGCTGAGGGGTCCTGTTCTCTGCATCTACAAGCTCTGGTTTAGATCATGTTCCTGTCGTCTAATAAACCTTCTGTTTTACTGGCTGCCTGAGAGTCACGTCTGACTGCGGAGTTGGGGGGCAGGACCCTCTGGCTTCCCCAGGACCCCGCCTGGGTGGACTCGCCATGGGAAGCGCACGGAGGGGCAGAGGATGCTGAATGCTCTGAGGTCAGACCCAGGAAGGTGGAAGCTGTGTGAGCTGTGTGTCCTGAAGACAGTCTGCTCACAGAAAGGAGACTTCCCCAGAGTCCTGACTGGCTTTGCAGGGAGCAGTTCCAGAGCATTGCCCGGGGACTCCGTGACAGATGGTCATCCAGAAAATCGGTAGATGTGGGTCCCTTTCTTTTGGAGGGAAGCTATTGGGACAACTGGGATCTTCATAAATACATGTGGATGTTGTAAGTCTGAAACATGAGTGCTCTGTATTGAAAAGTGTTTCCTGTTTAAGAAAAACCCAGAAGGCATCTCAACTGATGACAACTCATCATTAAATCTGAGGGAGATTTATCATTACATACTGAAGATATTGAGCGTTGGAAGGATGTTACTGTAATGTCTGTCGGTTTGTTTCAGAAATGTGAAATCCAGTATGCCTTGCACGGCTGTTTCTCCTCTGTAACACTAAAATACTTGATTGTGTGCCACAACTTCTTGTTTCTCCATGGAACAGGATCTATCATTCCGAAATATAAGGTCTACTATACATTCATTTTCTGAGGCTATAAGAGCTGTTTCTTAAATTAGAGGGAAAGAGTAGACTTGGGCCAAGATTAAAAAAAAAAAAAAAAAAGTTGAAAGACAGGATGATAAGTACTTCTAAAAATCAGACCATTTAATTCAGGTGCCTATGGGATTGGGAGCCTAATTTTAGGCACACATTTTTTTAAAACTGTGGCCTTGTTCCTGGGAGAAAAGGTAGATGTACTGAATGTACTCCTCTGATTGTCTCAAGCACCCATTTCTCCCCCATGGCTGATTCTTGGGTCTAACCTCCCAGATAAGAGGGGCCAGATTCTGCATGGCACCTTATGAAAGGTGCAACACAGAAGGCACAGCCACTGCAGTGGTGTAAAAGGGCTTCAGTAGGGCCAGAAAGTGGTCCAATATGTCCTCAAACTTTGGGAAGCCAAAGTCCTGCGGAGGTTTCTAAGTTAGATGGTTTCTATAGAAGCCTGTTATGTATCTTCCAACTCCCCAAAATGTCTGCCTCTGCCTCTTCCTAGTGTATGATATCTATGCTGCTCCTTGGAACAGTGGTAACCTTAAAGAGAATATCCACTGAGGTAATATGGACTGAAATCTCTGATTAGAATGAGAGGAATGTGGGGCTTTTTCCACCTTGTCCAAAGCCTCTGTGTCTAATTTATCTATACGCTCCCCAAAGAGCCTGTACCACTGGAATACAGAAGACATCATCTGATGTTGGAAGCAATTTTACTATGCGTATGTTATGTTGTGCCCCTGGGTGGGTTGTCAGCAGCAGAGACTGAACCTGGGACTTTTGGCTCTGAAAGCAGGAACCTCTATTGTTTAAGCTAAAGGACCCAGGTCTGTTACCCAAGGCTGTAGCAGGCTGATGAACCTTCATATGTAACCCAGCCACCACTAGATGGAACAGTGCACCACACTGAATGGGTGTGGGCTACACACAGATGGAGCAACAGATGCTGCCAGGCTACTACACTGGAAACCTTGGAACATGCAGCAAATTGTAATCAGGTGAAGCATCTGAAAGCTATTGCTAGGGAAATTTAATTTAAAATAGATTTCATTTTATTGTGCCCTGATGGCTTCACATTTCTGTAAGCTTGCCCATCCAAGCAAGAGTAGCTCTGGCAAAACAAGAGGATGCAGTCAGTGCTGCCAGAACCAGACGCCCCGATGATCCAATTTTCCTGTCTCTGGGTTCCTTTGGCAGGAGCTCTCCCTCCGATGGTGCGACTGAGACCTTCACTGATGAAGCTCCACTGATGTGACAAAGTCCTATAGGAGCATGTAGAATTGTGAAGTTACCTGTTAGAGTGTTTCACCTTGCTAGGAAATTTCCTGTGTGTTAGTCACATCCTCATCATAAGCCAGGTGAAGAGGAATTAGAGAACTCTCCTTCAGCAGGCTTTTGGTGTTTTTTGGTTTTGTTCATGAACCTTTAAAGTTAAGCAGCAACTTTTTAGCTCTAATTATTTTTTGTTTCAACACAAGAGCCTGCAAAGACAGACCCCATCTCTGCTTAATTCTGGGGAGTCCACAGCTGAGAATATGAAGTGTCTCACTCCAGGCCATGGCTTCAGAAGTTTCATTGGCTCAGAACCAATTTTAACAGTATATTGCATCTGTCTTCTGGTTCCAGGCAGAGCATGAAACATTTTAACTCAATTTGGCCACATTCCACCATTTCTAAAGTAGATACATTCAAATACGGAGCATACCCACGGTAAATATTCATTTACATGGCACTGTAATTGTACACAGCCCGGCATATTAGGAGTGTGATGCCAAAAAATATAGTAAGAGGATCTCTTGGCACACAGGCTGGAAAGTTTATGAGTAAGAGTTGTGGGTGGGCTTTAGGTTTGGAATACATCAGGGAATGGGCAGGGTCCAAATGAATGTTTTGAAGGAAAGTGAAAGTGCCACACTTCAGTAAAGATCAGGATAAACTGAAGAAAGTCCAAAGAAAAGCAACAAAAATGATAAAAGGTTTAAAAAAATCTGACCTATGAGGAAAATTTTTAAAAAACAGGGCATGTTTATTCTTGAGAAGAGAAAGGGGGGGGGGGCCCACACCTGATAACAGTCTTCAAATATTTTGAGGGCTGTAATCAATTGTTTTCCATGTGCACTGAAGGTAGGACAAGAAGTAATGGGCTTAATCTGCAGCAAGGGAGGCTTAGGTTAGGAAGTTTTTCCTAAAATATAACTATAAGGGTAGTTAGGTTCTGGAATAGCTTCCAAGGGAGGTTTTGGAATCCCCCTCACTGTAGGTTTTTAAGAACAGGATGGACAAAACTCTGTCACAGATGGTCTAGGTTTACTTTGTTTTCCCTCAGCGTAGGAGGCTGGAATACATGACCTCTTGAGGTCTCTTCCACCCCTACATTTCTATGATTCTAAGAGCTATGAGGGATACTTTCCCTCTGGAAAGGCTTTTAGACTTCAAAGGGTGCTTTGAAGGCAACGAGACAGCCTGATGTATAGGACAACAAGGAGTTGATCCCTAGGCCAAATCACTGAGAGAGAAGAAACCAAAGGAATAGTGTCTGCAGGTGTTTCTTACAAAAACAACAACATTACCACTTCATCATCGTTGAGGGCAAGGGGGAGGTAGGCCCATACCCTCAAAAAGTAGAGAAGAATGAGAAGCAGAGCAAGACACAGAAGACAGAGGAACTGCCAGTATCTGAATAAGGAGCTGGCACCTTCTTCAGTAGCTCAGGCATTGTGGGTAAGCTGCTGACAGAAGAGATGTTCCACAGCCTTCTTACGTGACTTGATAAAGACCTTATCTACATGCTGCTGGAATATTCAAACTTTGCCCCTTGAATCTGCCTGGAGAAAGCTGAGCAATGGCATTTCTTGCCCCCCTCCTTTCCCTTACTGTCTGCCATTTCTCAGGAGTACTGGGAAGGTGTTGCCTCATAAACCCCTCCTTAGAAACCCAAACAGATTTTTGTAGGTACCAGTTATGAGGAGAATAAATCTCAAAACCAATCAACACAACCAGAGGAATTTAGTTGAAAATCTTTTACAAATCTTGTTAAAGGCTCTGGGTCAGGCTTAGAATGAAATTAATAGGCAGCAGGTTTAAAAACAAACTAAAGGAAGTACTTCTTCACACAATGCACAGTCAACCCGTAGAACTCTTGCCAGGGAATGTTGTGAAGGCCAACATTATAACACAGTTCAAGAAAGAACTAGATAAGTTCCTGGAAGATAGGTTCATTAATGGCTATTAAGGGATGCAACACTGTGCTCTGTGTCCCCCAGCCTGTTTGCCAGAAGCTGGGAATGGACAATGGGGATGGATCACCTGACTGCCTGTTCTGCTCATTCGCTCAGAAGCACCTGGCATTGGCCATTGTTAGAAGACAGGATACTGGGCTAGATGGACCATTGGTCTGACTCAGCATGGCCATTCTTATGTTCTCTGCTGCAGAGGGACACCAGAGTTTGTCAGCTGCACATGCCTGGAAGCTCGGAGCTTTGGAGAGTTCTTCTCAAGAAGTATTTTAAGCCTGACCCAGCGCCACATAGCTCCAGCTGCTAAGGGGATGGGAAATACTCCTTGAGAAGACCATCAGGACATGGAGTGGACAAGAAAAGTTAAAAAAAAAAAAGTGAACTTTTTCAGCAAAAAAGACTGTGAGGTACCCCAACACTAAAATCTTGAAACAACAACAGTGACAGTTGAGTAGTCAGTGGTGATGTAGAAAAGGGGAGAGGGCTCAGGGGTGGAAGAGGACAAGAATCAAACTTGCCTTCATTAGTGACATAAATGGAAGATTTAGATTTAAACAAAATAAGCTTTTTAAAAAAGTTAATATTTTTCTTGTTCATAAATTAACTTTTCTAAACTGAAAGTGATCTCAGAACAGTTCTGTATGTGCCAGGAAGAGAAAAAGAACTGCACAAATACACAGCCATTGAGATGGACAAAGGCCCATTATCCAACATCTTAGCTTAATAATGAGTCATAATTTACCTCAGAATTAATAAATCTAAATCACTCCAGTACTAATGGAGTCAAAATGAGCCCAGAGGTACGACTTTTTTCTCTACACATTTTTAATTGTTAACTTCCTTTTTATCTGCTCTCTGTCTAGATATTTCTAAGGTGCCCCATCACTGTATTATCTGAGCTACTTGTTTATAGCAAGAAGAAAGGTGCATCTCATGTGTCACTGAGATGGAGCCTTGTCTAGTGGTTAAGCACAGGACAGGGAGTTAGATTTGGATTCTCTTCATGTCTCTATCCTGGAATAGCTGTGACCTTTGGAAAGCCATTCATGCTGTGCCTCAGTTTCCACATAAGATTGAGGTAGGTGCTGTAAGGTTTAATTCACTAGTAATGGCTGGGAAGTGCTCTGAGATCCTCAGATACAGGCACTACAGAAGTGCAATGTATTATTATAATTTGCAATTACTTATCATCCCTTTTACTATTAGTGCTTTGCCAATAGATTATTAGATGTTTTTGTGTGGATGAAAGAGATAGACCAGCAAGAGCCAAGTTTGATCATCTACTCAATTTGAGACTTGGATACAACAGAATCTCAGTAATCCACAGATCTGATGGTTTCACTCTACATCTCAAAGATCTCGTAGCAGAAAGCTGCAGTGAGGTGCCATATCACCCAGATTTCATTACTTTATAAAGTTAGCCCACACAACATTTTGTAGAGTGCACTGAATGATCACAAATAGTTCAAACCAGGCAGCACTTATTAAAGTAACGTGAATGAAATACATTTTGATGCTGTATCTTTTATTTCTTAAACTGCATCTGTCAGTGCTTGTTAACTGGTAGAATGCAGTAATTGACAACTCAGTGAACATTAGTGAGGTTTTACTGTGTTTTGTAACGGAAGTCAGGGTGCTCAGACACTCTTTCATGGTAATCCGGAGACATGGTAGCATGAAAATGGACACCTGTTTACTGCTCAGCTGAAGAAAGAAAGGCAAATTAAAGGAGTGTCATTCCTAAATTACAAACTCTGCAAACAATTCTGTCATTTTGTTACCCCACAAGTTCACCGCTACCGGGTCAGGATGGAGAATAAAAGCCACTGACTTACCCTTTGTGAAATATTTCAAACTTAATTCCCTTGGTCTGAATCACTCTTCGGAAGCCTCTGTGATTACGGTTAATGGTCAACTTGAACAGCTGATTATATTCTAGAAACAGGAGGGAAAAAAATGTGAGAATTGTAAAAATCATCAAATTAAGCGACTAGATCTTTTTCAGTGATGGACACATTGCATTCAGCCTACTGCAACTTGGCCCATAACACACCACTTCACACTTACATAGCAACTTCCATCTCAGAAGGCCAAGGCGGTTGCAAATGTTAATGAATTAAACCCCACAATACCCCTCATTATCACCACCCCCACTTTACATATCTGAAGAAAAGATTAAGTGATTTTCTCAAGGTCACACAGCAAATGTTTCACCAGCATAAACAACATCAGGGTAGTTATGAACCACCAGAGATAGAAACAAGGGGACAGATTCCAATCTCAGCTACACTGATGTAAATCCAGAGCATATGACTAAGAAATAGGGATCTGGCTTTTTTAACATGATTTGTGTAGCTGCCATATTGAAAACTAGAAACAAAACGCTTTCAAACCTCAGGGGAAAAAAAAACAGCTTGGAATCCTAACTTCAAAGTTTATTACTCCCAACTAGTGTTTTGGAAACTAAATGCAATTTAAATGGCATGTGGTGGGGGGGGGGAGGGGGAAAAAGAGGGTAAACAGAATGTTACGAATTTAAAATTGACCTGCAAAGGAAGAGGAATTGGGCTTGTAACTTGTTTTCCTTCTTTATTATGTATAAAAAAAGCCTGAAGGGATCTTTTTTAAAAAAAAAAATTCCTCCCATTTTTTTGAAATATGAGAAATAAGGTCTAGGCTGGAAGATTCTATGACCATTATTTAATTTAAATGGTAAATGAACATTGTGGATAAAGGAAACCTTTGTTAAAGATTAAGTGCCTCTACCCCTTCAATTAAGGTCAGAGCTCACAATACACATGCTTCTGAAACATCTAGCAAGCAGGTCCTCCTAGAAAGACCAGACTTGACATTCCTGCTATTTTAAAAAGGTAAAAACGAGTAGGGGAAAAACCCACAAAACCTGGTTTGGAAAAAACAAAGTAGCAAAAAGGAACACAATCCCAATTTTTAAAAAGTCCTTTGCTGGTCATCTTTAAGATCTGCTGTGTTGTGAAGGCAACATTTCTAACATTAACAGATCAATAAAAATGATTAACAAGATCAGTCAGGCTAACCCAGTCACTACCCTTGGAACAAATGATCAGAAAGGAAATAAAGTGTGATCTCTGAAGATTCGTAAGTGAATTATTTATTTATTATTATTTATTTACTTAAGTTTTTGTTTTACTGGTGTCTCGCCTAACAGTGCTACTATAGTACTCAACCTACTGTATGCAGCAAAGGCTCAATGGTACTGAGCAACAGGACCATTTGATTAAGAAGTGACATGAACAATGGCTCCCTGCACTGGGTGAGAGAGAGTGGGGATAAAAAGTTAAACTCCTACATGAGCTGGATTTCCCTAACAAGGCCTCTGGTAATTGAAGAGAAAAGCACAGTCTGTTCTTCTAGCATGGCTCAGAGAGTGGGGGACTAGCCTGTACTCCAAAGTGGTTTTAAGGTGCAGTGTTTCACTCCCACCCCCAGAACAGGTACCAACCTGGAGAATTGGTATTTTTAATTACTGCCGTTTTACTTTTCTGAGCTTGCTCCTATTAAAAAAAAAGAAAAGAAAAAAAAAAGCAACATTTACATAAAGCCACCAACCTGTGTTGCAAATACTGCTCATATGAAGCACCAAACTTTTTTTTTTTTTTTTTTAAACATAAATGAAGAGCTTGAGTTGCCCAGCATCATAGCAAAGCTTTTTGGTGAAAATGGAGAGAGCTGACCCCAGTTCTCTCTGATAAAAAGATTCCAATAAAGTTAAACGGTATAGGGTATAAAATTGTAATGTGACCCTTCCTAATGTATGAACAGAGACTTGTCCAGCCACAAGGAAAGAAATCAGTATGTTCTCCACTACGGAAATGAAGATGGTGAGATGGTCAAATGGCTGGACATGCAATGATAAGAAATGAAATGAGGTTGTGAGGGGCCTAATATGGGTCACCCCAACTGAAGACAAGTTGAGGGAGGCAAGACTACGTTGGTATGGACATGTCCAGTGGAGACCTGAGCGTTGTACTGGAAGGATGGCCCTTGCAATGATCGTGGATGGAAGATGACCAAGGGGAAAGACTTGGTACATGGACCAGATATCAGCAAACATTAGAAGAGACCAATTTGCACATCCAAAACTCATGATTGTACACCTGGTTTGTAAGTAGGCTATACAAGATTCTGACACCCCCCCCCCCCACACACACACACACTAGGGACTGGCAAGGAAGAAGAAGAAGAAAGAGCCTGAGTTATAGGAGGTTATCCAGGGTAAAAAGGGGCATTGGCACATTTATGATTCCAATATTTGTATTTCATTGCGGTAACAAAATTTAACTTTAGATATAGAACTAGCCACAAGCAAATATTAAACAAGTGCTATAGAGAAGTTATATGGCCACACCTGATTCAACACACTCATCATAAAACTAATTGGTGCTGCTATGATACATGATAATCTAGGCACATTCTACTAGGCTATAATGCTATTCCTTCTACTTGAGCTGAAATAAGAAGAAGCTTTTGGGGCTGCACAAGGAGTCCAACACAAATCATTCAGGGAATTTGCCAACTATTATTCTTCCTGACAATCACTCTGCCACCAAAATGAACTATCTTTTAACCCAAGCAGAGTATCAGCTAAATGTCCTTGTTCACTCTCCAGAGAATGTGACCTAATTATCATAGCTACTTTGAAAAATTGATTCCAGCTATGAAGGAGAAATAGGTATATTTAAAGTTTTGGCTAAGACGTAGTGATCTGGCTTTTTTATCACTGAAAATGAGAGATTAAAAACAGCTATACTGGCTTTATATGTATTCCTTATAAAATTACACATACACATACTGATTTTGTTCTATTATGCTGATGTAAATCAAATGGAGTGACTCCAGATTGACACCCATATAACTCAGATCAGAATATGGACCAGCCCAAGTTTCCTTTTTTGCACCAGGTTTTTCCACAGGTAATTCAATAGACTTCAATAGAGTTACTACAAGTGTACCATGGGGTAAGAATCAGGTCCTGCATATTTAAAGAACCCCAGGGGGCTATAATCACATGCTGATGAGAGATAGAAAATTAGGGCTAAATGTTCTACAATGCTATAGAAATACTGCGCCGGGAAGTCAGTGATGGAAGCCCTGTTACATCTTATGGTATACATGTAGAGTCCCCTCTAGCACAGACTGCTGCACTCAGAAACTGGAGGAGAGGTATAGCACCATGCACTGAGGATGGAGTGACAGACTTCACTTTTCATTTCCTGGTTTGTCTCACATTTTTGTAAAGACAGATAACCGACTCCCTATCTGTGTCAGCTTCTTTGGGGCCATCCCACCGCACGGGATGAACTGTATATACCACCATATCAATCCACAAGATCACACACTGTCACCATTAAACACACACAAACATGTTGCAAAAAATCAATCCTGAATGCAAGGTGCAGTCTGTGTGCAAAGTAACAGTATTTTAACAGCAATGGTATTTTAAAAACAGGTTAGACAAACATCTGTCAAGGATGGTCTAGGTATACTTAATTCTGCCTCAGCGTAGGGCATGGACTAGAGCTCTCTTGTGAGCCCTCTCAGCTCCGCATTTCTATGATTCTATTACCAGGGATTCTCATCAAGATAGCTGGAAAGGAGGGGCTGGCACCAACGGTCTTCCAAAGAAAAAGGACAAAATAAATCTGAAACCATTTTGGAGTCAGTATTCAAAGGTATGTGTTCGGGGGGGGGGGGGGGAATGGGGGGAAGAGACTGTCAAGGAAAGGAAATTATTCAAGGTCCAATAACATTTACATCTTTAGGGAGAGGGAGAACCTGAACAGCTAAGTCTCAGAAGACCCCATTTCAATGTTTCAGTGACAAAAATAGCCTGAATTCTACTAGCAATTATATAAACACAAACAAAATCATCTGAGAAAAGGTTACTTATATGGGCCAGATCCTGTCCTCAGAGATCTGAGCATCTCCCACTGACTACAGTGGGAGTCACATGCATTTATATGAGGGCAGAGTTTTTTGTCCATTTCTAAAACAAGCATCTAAAAACAAGCATTTTTAAAAAACAGGTTTGCTTTTAGGCTTGCAACTCAGTTATAATTCATAGCAAGCATTTACAACTTGTCAACTCCTGAAAGTAATAGGCCCGCACCACCTCTAAGATAAATCTGGCTCTATAAAATAACATTGCTAAGTAATGCAGGGTTTTGGATTGAGGAACAGCAAAGGCCTGAACACACACTCACCGTATTAGGGTAATGAAATTCAAATTTCACAAATGCATCCAAATCATTTGGTGTCACACCTGTGCAAGACAACAGTCAAACAGTCAATCCAGGGATTTTCAAAAGCACCCAAATGACTTTTAATAGGACTCATGGACCTAAATCACTTGGATGTTTTTGAAAACCCCATCCACTGGAACACTGGCAATCAAAGGCAAACATTCTGCTAATGCTCTAGTTGGTTCTGAGCACATACATAAACAGCAATTAAACCCCTATAATAAATAAAGGACCTAAGAATAATTTGTGTTGCTATAAGGCTGGGATGCTCTTGAACATCTCCTGCTGGTTGGCTGACGAGACAGTAAAAGCAATCAAGCCATCTCAGAGCTATACAAAATGTTTATAACAAAACCTGAAGCCTTGTGAAATTTGAACCTAGGCCCAGTTTCGAGCAAAGCTGGGACAGCTTAGGGTTCTGCCTTCAAAGCAGAGGAAACTCTGCAATTTACATTGAGTTTTGTTTCAGTTTTTTGGAACTGAACTGAAACTTGGGGGCCTGAGCTAATATGGACTGAAATTAAAAAGCTTTCAAAAGCTCTAAGTCAGCTAGGGTTGCCAACTTTCTAATCGCACAAAAACAACAACCTACCCCGACCCCTTCCCTGAGGCCCTGTCCCCCACTCACTACGTTCCCCCTCCCTCGGTGGTTCGTTCTCCATCACCCTCACTCACTTTCACTGGGCTGGTGCAGGAGGTTGGAGTGCGGAAGGTGGTGAGGGCTCTAACTGGGGGTGTGGGCTCCAGGGTGGGGCCAGAAATGAGGGTTCAGGGTGTGGGAGGGGACTGCAGGTTGAGGCAGAGAGTTGGAGCACAGGGGGGTGAGGGCTCCGTCTGGGGGTGTGGGCTCTGGGGTATAGGAGGGGGTTCTGGGTTTGGATGGGGGGCTCAGGGCTAGGGCAGGAGGTTGGGGGTTAGGGTGCAGGCTTACCTAGGGTGGCTCCCTGTCAGCAGCACAGCAGGAGGGCTAAGACAGGCTTTCTGCCTACCCTGACTCTACCCTTTTCCGGGGTGCAGCTCGAAGCCAGAAAAGATACGGACTAGCCTGCCTTATCTCCGCAGCACCGCCGACTGGACTTTAACAACCCAGTCGGTGCTGACCGGAGCCACTACGGTCCCTTTTCGACTAGTGTTCCAATTGAAAACCAAACATCTGGTCACCCTAACGTCACCGTATTATCCCTAGGGCAAAGAAATCTTATTCCCCACCACTAACCTCCCTATGGTCTGAGAGAAAGGCTCTTAGAGATCAGAGTATGTTTCCTGATCCTTACCTGGGGGAGCTGGCAGGTTTATTCCCCTGACAATGATAAGATGCATTTCTGTACTGTTGAGTTCAGAAAATATTCTGGAGAGGGAGAGAAAGAAGAGATACAAAACACAGGTTCAGTCCAACAGCCTGGCATTTCCCAACCCACTGTCAGGCCAGGATTCCACTGCTGTAGTTCAGAGACATGACACTTGGCAAACATGAAGGGGAATGAGAGTCCTGGAGAAAAGCCTATTTCTACATAAATCTCAACCCAAGAACTGGAGAGGAGAAGAAAGGCAAAGTAGAAACAGGCAAAGGCTATTTTTGGTTCTGTGCTGGATCTGGGTTACAGATAGCATTGTGAAGGATGCCAAAGACAGGCCTCAAAGACATCAGTTCTGGGGGGAAAAAACATGGTTAAAGCAGGGAGGGTTGGGGGAAGATGCAGCTGGATTTGTCTTTGCAATAAAGAGACCTAAAAGTGAAGTTGAGAAACAGCTATTTAATAAATCTGAAGAATCCTTAAATTTTTGGGAGTCTTTTCTTAGGAATGTGGAGCAGTTCGGAGTGCCTACCTCTTGTTTGCTCTGATGGGAGTTAAAGCCCTCTATCCCCTGTACATAGAGACTAGAAATGAGTGTCCCATCCCAGTCTGCTGATGACACCCTTTGACTTTTTGTACCTTATTATTTTAAAGGTTCTCTCCTCAAAGTGATGGCTGGGGGGATCCATCCCCTGGGCCTGTGCAAGCTGCAGAATCTCCAGGTCCTTTTTACATGCTTCTGCCAGTTTTTCAAACCTGTAAAGCAGTGGTGGTCAGCAAACAGTATTTTACTGAGTACAAGATACAGACTGATTCACTCAGCTCCACCACCTAACACCACAAGTAAATCAGTGGCCAACGGCCCACAAACACCAATCTCCTTTTGTACTTGAAAGCACGGCAGCCCCTGCTCCAGGTAGACCACATGACGGGATAAATACAGATAGTGGCAGCAGACTTACCGGGCTGTTTCAGTTATGTTTCCCAGATGCATGAACTGCCTGGAATACTGCAAACATTTCTATTAACAGAAAAAATAAGTAACAACGATTATCCCATGATACACATCTCTGAAGAAAGATTTCAGATTGAGAACCTGCATGTTACTCAGAAGAAAAGAGAAGGTTACCCACGCTGTGCAGTAACTGAGGTTCTTTGACATGTGTCCCTCTATGGGTTCTCCACTTGTAGACGCAGCAGTGCCCCCCGCGCCCGGGATCGGAGATCTTCATCAGTAGTGCCTATGGGATTGCACAGGCGCACCTCCCCCTCTCACACCGTGCGTAGGGCGTATATATAGTGCTGTGCGGTCTGATCGCCCCGAGTTCCTTCTCTGCCGCAGAGCTTACGTTTTCGGCTCTGAAGCGGAGGGCAGGAGGTGGAACTCCCACAGGGACACCCATCTCAAAGGCCCTCAGTTACTGCACAGAGCGAGTAACCTTCTCTTCTTCTTCAAGTGACGTACCTATGGGTGCTCCACTTGCAGGTGACTGGAAAGCAGTGCCCCTAATTGCAGTGTGGCTAATGAATATGCCTTGCATCCAAATAGATCTTGAGGTTTCCTATCTCTATCTGGATTGTCAGAATGGGATTGGAACTGATGGCCTCTCTCTTGCACCACACTGACCACCAGAGAATTCGGGTTGGGGTGCGAAAATAAGAATCCCGAATCCTTCACTGGAACATAATATTTCCTCTTGGCACATTTGTAGGTTGGCGGAATAGACACTGGGGTCTGCCACAAAACCTTTGTGGGGGTCGAGAAGAGCCTCACTGATCGCAGTGCGATCTTGGGAGAAGAGGATGTGTGAAGTATATCCAGCAGTTTATGCTGCTGGTCTTTAACCTCCTCCAATGGGATCTGTAAAGATTCTGCAACCCTGTGGAATAACTTCTGAAAGTGTCTGAAGTTGTCGGCAGACGTGGGTGATAGGGGCATGATAGCCTCGTCAGGTGAGGATGAAAAATGTAAGGTTGGTGGAGCCTCCTCCTGTTCTTCCTGTTCAGTTGGTGCCGGCGGTAGTTCAACCTCTTAAAGGTGAGAGACCGATGGAGAAGGGAGAGGTGTAGGTCTCCGTTCATGCTCCCTGGTAGGGTTCCTGAACTGTGCTTGTACATGGCCCAAGGGTCATAATACGGCCAGTTCGGTGGGAGTGTCACATGTGGCTGCATCCATAGTGGCCACTGCCAGGCTTGAGGACCAGCGGGAGATTGTGCATAGTGAGGATGGGCAGGTGCGAGTTACCCTGTAGTCAAGCGAACAATAGAGCCCTGGCCTCTTCCTCATTACTAGGGAAGGGAGGTGCCATTCTTGGTGGAGAGAGGGAGGAGCAGCATGAGTCTGGAGAGGAAGGTGGAAGTGGGGGTGGTCACACTGCATAAGAGGAGACTCAAGAGTGTCAGAGACCAACAGGTGCGTCGGGTATCTGAAGTCTTGTGGAGGGGGAAGAAGCATCATCGCTGCTGATGGAAGACGCGGTGCCGAAGGAAAGCGTATGTCCCTGAGACACTGGTAGATGGCGCTGGAGGCTAGGCCAGTGCCACTGGTTTGCTCGGTGCTACTGACTAGATCGGTGCCAGCAATTTTGCTAGTGCCGACGTCTTACTTGGTGCCTAGAGCATTGTCGGTGCCAAAAACGCCGTTGGTGCAGGAGCTCCTGAGGGCGGCTCGGCTTGGTCCCCCTAGAGCTGGGAAATGGTGCCAAGGGCTGTAGTCTGCTTGGTTAAGACGTTTAGACCATTTCTTTGAGCTGGAGGTACTCAGACGAGCACTGGGGCTATGTCCCCCATCAGATGAGTCTGGGTAACAGACCTCACCGGGGACAGTGTTCTGGTGGGCTGTGCCTCAGACTGTGAGGAGGAAACCCGTTTCCTGACATCCAAATGAGCAAGGGATGACTTTCTCTTCAGGGGACAGGGACAGTGAGGATTGGCAGATGACCTGGCAGAGCATGAAGGCCTCTCTGGGGAAGAGTCTGGGCCTGGGTTCAATGCCAGCTAAAGCAAATTCTCCATAAGGAAGAGTTTCAATCTAATGTCCTGGTCCCTTCTGGCCCTGGGTGTCAGGCCAGGGCAGGGGAACACTTTTGTGGGACATGTCTGTGACGTTACACCCCACATTCTCCATAGAAATCTTGCTATCATATGAATATGGCGTAACTAAAATACGTTTTATGCAAGATGGGTGATGTGAGGTATCACTGAAAAGGTTATGATCTACTAAATGTGTTTATCCAATTTGTATGCACGTATCGTTTCTGTATATGACGTTAGGAGTATTGACTATGTAACAATTACAATTGTGTGTGTACTTGGGGATCGCCCACCAGACAGTAGGCAATCATCCTGAATGAGCCATTTAAGGACAATAGAATTTTGAAGATACTAATATCCCACCTTCCAGAGGAGCTTCCTAAGATGTTGCTTTGACACAGCACGGTCATCTGATGATGTCACCTGGTACAGAATACCACCTTGGACACTGCTGGTACTTTTCCACTGGAAACAAAGGGTTCCTGCCTTATGTAAATTCTATTTAAGGCTGGGGAGTAAGGCAATCAGGACTCTTCTCCATTGCCTCCCCATACAAGGAGGAATATTGCTAAAAACACCTGAAGGGAAAGGCAGGGGCCGAGTCCAGGTTGAGATAGAGGTCCAGTCTGTAAAGAGAAATAACTGGACCTCTAAGCTACAGAAACTCTGCAACCAGCCTAAAACAACTTTTAGGGCGAGAAATTACATTTTGTAACCTATTTCTTGAGCATACTAAGCTTAATTTGCGTGTTTTGTTTTATTTGCTCATTAATCTGCTTTGTTCTGATGTTTGCTATCCCTTTACTCACTTAAAATTTACCTTTTGTAGTTAATAAACTTATTTTTGTTTATTATAAAACCCAGTTTGTACAATTCATACGCAAAAAGCTGTGCATCTCTCTCTCTCCACATTGAGGGAGGGGGCGATTTTTAGGAGTTTGCACTGTGCAGATCTCTCTATACAGAGCAAGACAATATTATTTTGGGCTTACACTCCAAAGGAGGTGTGCACAGGAGTGCTGAGTAAATCCCCAAGCTGAGTCTTTGCACACAGAACTGATTTCAGTCTGTGTCTGCAGCTGGGTGTGGCCTTACGTGTGTGTGTGTGTGTGCACGCGCGCTAGAGAAGGTTTGAGGGCCTGGCACAGCTAGGACAGTGTGAGGAAACCCAGACTGGGTGGAACCAATGTAACCCCAAAACATCAGGTGGCACCCCGAATGGGGGGTTCAACCCATCAGTGTCCCTCTCCCAGACAGTGGACACACTGAGTGTGGCCAGCCGTTACAGGGAAGGCTGCCCAGCAAGAAATGCACCTCTTAAACCTGGGGTATCTGGGCATAAGGGTGGAGGGAAAGGCTTCCCAGTCGGGAAGGGCGGGAACCAGGGAAAACCAGAAACTCAAACTATTAAAGAACTGTAAAGGTAAAGACAAAATAAATAATAATTAAAAACAAATTTTTTTTGATAGAAGAGGAAAGGAGAAGAAGAAGAAAACACTACACTGCTGCGAATTCTGTCCCAGACCAGAAGTGGTAAAGAGGGAACTGGGAGTGGTTGGATTGCACAGCACTATATATATGTCCCACGCACAGCGCAATGGGGGGAGGTGTGCACACGTGCAGTCCGATGGCACTGCTGATGAATATCTCTGATCCCAGACACAGAGGGTGCTGCCGCACCTACAAGTAGGGCACCCATAGGGACATCACTCAAAGAACACCTCCCAGTTTGTCTAAATCTCTGCAGGTGATTTCACCACCACCACCACCCACTTCTTTTTAAAAAAATACAAAACCAAATATAGCGTTTGCTTAGTTTCTACTGCCTTCTCTCACTTTTTCCTCTAATAGTTTTAGACATGGCATTCACCCAAGGATTAACTGTGCCCTAAGGATTAAGGCTAATGTTTTCAAACTTGGGTGTCCAAAATTAAGACACCTAAACCAATGGCAGCAGTGCACAGCACAAGGGCTCCCACTGACTTCAAATGGAAGTAACTCTGAAAACCAGGCCACTGATTTAGGTGCCTAACTATAAACACCATATTTGAAAATGCTTATATAAAATAGTATTTTTAAATAGGAGCTGAAAATCCTACCGAAACAATGATGGGATCATGATCACAGCAGCAGCAAAAGCCAAAGAAACACTATAAAGCATACAAAGCATTTCTTCCGTCACTGGATTCTTAACACATAATGATGCACTGAAAGGAAAAGGTAGTTACCTCATGCTGGTCCTTTAGCAGTTTTATAAGCTTAGCGTACACCTCTTCTACCTTCTGAGAGAGTTTGACGTCGTCATGGTGGATGAAGATGAAGTCACTCTCGTCATCTGTAAGGGGTGATGGTAGCTGCACAATACCACACAACATGGCACATCAGAGCTCCTTGCAGGAACATGGAAGCAGAACAAAAGCAGCAAGAGGGGATGGGAGAAGTGTGAGCAGATCAGGGAAGGTGGGTGCGGACAGTGGTAAAGGGATATGGCATATCTCACTCTAGGTCACTGGTTCCAAGCCATCTGTTAGTTGCCGCCATGTGATGACTGCCCATGCAATACGAACTGGTGGTCTCAGCTCAGCTGTTAAGATTACAGTTATTTGTCTCACAGTGGCATCTTTGAGGCCAGGGAGCAAATGGGTCATGGAGCCTAAACTCCCCCACAGAGGTGGTTCCGCCAGGCCAGGATCAGGCACTTTGGGGCTATAGGGGAGGAGTAGGAAGAACAGCACTATGACTGGAGCATTGCCTGTTTTGTAGCTATCTGGCACCTTTCACCAGCACTAAATTCACATGAGAAACATTAAGTTTTAAAGCATTCTTAGATTTATGCAAGCAACAGGACATTTGAGATGCCCAAGGAGCAAAGCAGAACACTTTGTTTATAGTCTTTACTAACCTTGGAAATATCAACAGATTTGCCACTTTTTGCCAGCTCAATCTTTGGGTCCAAGTTCTTTGCTGTCTTGAGATACAGTTTGGCTTGTTCAAGGTCATTCTTCTGCTTTGCTTTGATCGCTGCCTTCAAGTATTGCTTCTTCCTGTTCTCCAGAAATTCCAGTTGTTCACTTGCTAAAAAGGAACAGCTATATAAAACACTTATCCGACATAACCATGTCAATGCACCATGTTCATTTTGTTTGATTTATACCAAGGAAAGAGTCAAAGCCCAGGTACCAGCTGAAAACACTTGGCTGTGTGTTTGATATGCAATAGTCACACCATGGGTAGTTCCATTTGTACACTAGTACAAAAATACTCATTTCCTTTTCTATGGCACCTTCCATCAAGGAATCCTAAGGCAATCTACAAACCAACAAACTTTTATTTAAAGCACTACAATAAACCTGTGAGATAGATACAAATTATGTCCCCATTTTACAGAAGGGGTAACAGGTTAAATGACTCGTGGAAGGTTACTGAAGAGCTGTGAAAGTCAGCTGCAGAAATGGATTTAAAACTTGAGCTGACTCCCAGTTCCATGTTCTATCTTCTAAAAAACACCTGATAATTGAATGATTCGTTATCTGTATATGTGCACGCAATATATTGTGTACTTTCTTTATACACATACTTTTTTTTTTCTCTCAACTTACCAGAAAAAGCAAACACATTGACCTCAATGACAAAAGAGCAATTACTTCATTGGAAGGCACACCGAGACCACAACCATCATAGCTCATCCCCTCTTCCTGCCCTTTTTATACCCCACTGTTACTACTTCTTGGGTCACCTCCCACCCATCCCTGAACAGCTGGTACAGTTTTAAGACTCAGAAAGGATTGATTTACATCATCCATGCACCAAATCCTACTTTCTCCATACTTTTCTTGGTATAGAAGGAAGAAGCGTGCAGTGGGTTGACTACCTCGGTTTCCCTAGATTCTTATACTGTGCTCACCTATTGCAGTATCCAAATGCAATTACACAAGCTATGCACTTGCAGGAGGTAGTTTTCTCACCATACAAATACACAGAGTAGGCTGATAGCACTATTAACAGCAGAAAGAATATACTGACTTTTAGTCCCATCTTCACAGTGGAGCTGGCAGCATCACTGTTGTGTGCAATCTGACCAGTCATCCAAATCCAAACCGATCAGACAATGTTGCTTGCCCTGGTTTTAACTGAGCCAAAGCAGCCAGAACACAGTTTGCTCAGTGGGGTTTAAGAGAAGAAAAACATATCTTCATGCAGGCTCTGCAGAGAGTGGACTGAGCAAAACCTTGCTATCCCTCTGCACCCCCACCTTTCATAGTGGGTGCCTTTGCATTGCAGGCCTTAAATGAAGCTGCCTTTTCCAAATGCACCATCCTGCAAGAGGAGAAGAGACATACCAGCTCAGGGATGCTCCAGCTTTGCTCCACTGAAGGTCACTTTGGTATGGGAGCCTAAAGCCAGTTAATATACATAGCAAGCTAAGCATGGCATGGTGTCACATCATCTCTGACATGTGAAGTATGGCACTGTATGACTTTGGGGGCCACACTTGGCTTGTGCAGGGCACACGTTGGTTACCCTGATCTAGTTCTACCAAAGCAAGATACTGGCACCTCCTGCAGGGTGAATCTGTCCAGGCTCCTGGTACTCTTTTTTACTTTAAACAATTAGAGCACTGAGGAGAGACTTGTGGGCACACGCTACATAACAACAGTCAGCTGGGCTGGAGAGACCAGGTATTATCTTAATATTTTAATGAAAGGGAGAGGCGCCTCAATTCCATAACTGACAAATTACATCTGAGGTACTCCATTTATACATTTAAATGATCATTAACATCGCAGCTGTAGCAGCAAAAATGGGGAAGCCAAATCTAAAGCAGATTCACAGATTTTAAGGCTTGGGAGACCATACATACTGATAATCTAGCCTGATCTCCTGCATAACACATGCCACAGAATTTCACTCAGAAGAGAGGATGGTGTGAGCTAGTCACTATGGCATTCAGAAACACATCCTCACTCTCAAAAAGTTCTCCATTACACAAGTGGCAAGAGGGGCTCTGTGAAAGTTGTGCTTTGGTTTGAAGAATTTTCCAAAAGTAGAATGAGAAAAGAAGACTAGGCTTATGGTTAAGGCTCACTATTGGCAATCAAGAAGCCTGGATCCCATTCCCAGTAAGCCACAAGCTTACTGTGCAGCTTTCGGCATGTCAAAACTTAACCACTTTGCCTCTGTTTCCCCAACAGTAAAATGAATATTGTACAGACAGGTATTTACTGACCTGACAGGAAGGTAATAAGGATTAATTCTTTACAGTTTGTGAGCCACTCTGAAATCCTCAAATGGAAAGAAGTAGAGAAATACTATGTATTAGCCACTGTGAGACACAACACTACACTCAATCAGCCAGCTGTCTGGACTAGCGAGCTCAACAAGCTTTTGTGAATTCATTTTGAGTTCCATAGTCAACAGGGATGCCTCAGCTAAGCATTATGAATCAATAAATTTACTGCATCAGAATTAATGAACCCATCCATCTTTCTAGTCACCAACTTTGCCTCCTGGAAACAACACTGCATAAGTGATTCGGATCTGCCCCGCAACAAGCACATGGAGTGGTGCTCCTGTTGAAGTGAACCAGAGTCACACGTTCACGTCTACAGGCCGTATTTTTTCCTAAAACTTGACCAAAACATTAAGAATGTTTGGTCCAAATGGATTGGTGGGAGTGACCATCTCTTCATCCTTACCGGCTAAAGGGAGATGGTCGTTCGATACAGCTTTGTCTGGTTCTCTTACAGGGGTGGATGGCGACATGGCTTTTTTCACACTTTCAGAAGAGTGCTCTTCCTGGGCTACAGCAGATGGCACCATAATTGGCTTTACAACTTGTGTTGGCTTCTGAGGCAGCTGAGCAGGCTTTTTGGCAACAGGGGCCTGTGTGGGAGATTCACTCTAGCATGGCAAAAGGAACTAAATGTTAAACGCATAAAATCTAATACAAGGCTCCAGCAACTCAAAATATTAATGGCACAGTCCACTGTATCAGACTTCTGCTGATACACTGAGAGTAGCAAAGGACCCCAGCCAGACACTTTAACTCAGTCTAAAAGTGATGTCATGCCAGGTTTGGCTGCTTGCTTGGACAAGAAACAGATTAAACATGGTGCTAATTCAGAAGAGAGGCAAAGAAAGGCAGGAACAGAAAATTGTCAAGATAGTTTTCATCATCTAAAATTGCACTCCACTTGAAAATATGAAACACGTTGGTCAGTAACAACCTGAGTGGAAAGAACCAACCCAAAATCTTATGGTAGGTGTAGATTGCTAGACAGCATGTAAACGCCATATAAAATTCTGAGCCACCAGGAGGCCACTTCTGAGTGCTAAAGGGCTGTACAGGTGGAATAGCTACCACAGAGGCAGTTGTTTTGAAGACAAAACCCACATTTAAACAGATACAGGGAAACAGACATAAGGAAAAAAGGCAAGCCAAATTATAGCCCTAAAAATCCCTTTAAAACAATTCAAGGTCTTTCATGTAGGATGAACTCTTTGCAATTCTCACCTCATCAAAAGATCTCACCTTTACACTCCCAGCTGATTCTTACTGTCCCCCTACCCCAACAGACCAGAATCCTGTACTGTTCCAGCTTCCAGAAGAAAGGTATTTTATTGCAATAACACACCCAGCTGGAAATCCAATAGCTTCTTCTCCACACAAAAGAAGATATGTTTTTAAAAAAAATTAGACATATTGGTAAGTAATTCAAACCTCCACCTCTTCATCTTCTTTCTCCTCCATGTTAGCCAGATGGTTGGCGCTTTCCAGCACGGCAGCTATTGTACTGTTGCCATCTGTGGGTGTCACACCAGGAATGGGGGGGAATCCTGAGGAAGAAGGAGATATGGTTCAAAACAACCAAATGAAACAAACCCTAAATTCTGTAACTTTTGCCCTTTCCAGGGATGTAAGTCTTTCTCTCTGTCATCATCCCTTCAGGATCAGTGCTTGGAAAAGCTCAACAGTTCTGAAAGTATTTATCATCATCCACCAGTTTAACCCCTGGGAAAGTCTTTCCCACATAACTTTAGAAGTCAATGCCTCATGAATCACAAAAGGCAGAGACAAAGGCTATGCACTATCTGAAAACTGATATTTTCACTTTCCCAGTGGTATTACACATTCCTAACAATGATATTTCACAAACTGTTGGACTGTTAGACATGCACCGATTTCTCAGTTTAGCTGCTTTTTTGACACAGGATTAAGCCTAAATAGCCAATCCTGATTTGTGTAATCTTCAATGCCTGTTACGCCTTGTTTCCCCAATAACTATTACTGTGTGCGCTCCACTGGAACATCACAGCAATTCTACATCCCTCTGCAGCTCAGCAGTTTCAGCAAGAACAGCACCACGGTAGTTAAGAAATGTTAAACCCATTACAATTCTTTTGACCATTTTCTGTCCTTTTGAAGGGGAGTGAATGGCTTTGATAATGGGAGACAGTCTTTAATTTCTAAGGTCTTGTCTACACTGTCACTTACAGCGCTGAAACTTTCGTAACTCGGGGTGTGAAAAAACATCCCCCTGAGGGATGGCAAGTTTCAGCATTGTAAAATGGCAGTGTAGATAGTGCTGCTGCACTCCCAGCACTGGTAGCTATTCCTCTCATGGAGGCGGTTTCATTACAGCACTGGGAGAGCTCTCCAGTCACCAGTTCAAATCCAGCCTGGGTCAGTAGTGACCAGAGTTACCACTATAAGATAGCTGCTTGGTGGCATTCACATTGCTAAAAACCATCCTTGTTAGTAGTCTCAGCAACCAGGCCAAGGACGGTCTGTGACCGAACTGCTCTCACCCCAGAGATGGCTACTCCAGGGGAGAGGGCAGGTTTGAGGTATACTGCAGAGCAGCCTGTGCAGCACCTGATCCATGACTAAACAGAGGATTTCTGTCTCTAAAGCTGATGTCATGTCTGGCCCCTTTCAAAGTTCAGATGCAGTGAAATGAACACCAAGACCTAACACAACATTGCTGGTTTCAGTGGGTGTTCATGTGTAAGTCACATATGCCCTTAAAAACCTGGTTTGAAAAATATTTACATAGCCAAGATGCGTGAAGAAGTTTAGGAATTATGTTACTTTCCCACTGGTTTATAGACACAGCAGTTTCTCCTTAAAGGCACTGACATTTAACAGGAAACAGGCCATGTTTTACAAGTTGTGGTTGTTTGTGTTTTTTTAAACACATTAAACCATCACAGCCACCTAAAAAACTTGGCACAGGGATTAAAATAGGTTACCGTGCCATGTACATCCCCTGGAAAAAGAGAGCTGGGCATGGTGATCGAAGGAGTGATATGGTGTTCAGATACAGTGATGAACATGCCAGGATATGGAATTGCCAGGATAGAGGACATAGAACAGCTGAAGTTAGAGACAGAGAATTCCTATTAGGCCCTCTTATCCATCCCCTTATGAATGCAGGATCATTCCTTACAGTGTAGAAAACAGAAAAAAGGAAGTGTGGCTAGTTCTGAGTTCTATTCCTGGCCCTCACTGACTTTTAACGTGACCACGCCGGGTCACTTTGCCTCTTTGTGTCTTAATTTCCCCAACTGACCTTGGGGAACAACAACACTGAGCTTCCTCATAGGTATGGCCCTACCAAATTTACGTACATGAAAAATGCATCATGGACCATGAAATCTTGTCTCCCACCATGAAATCTGGTCTTTTGTGTGCTTGTACCCTATACTATAGAGATTTCATGAGGGAGGCCAGTGTTTCTCTAATTGGGGGTCCTGACCCAAAAGGCAGCTAAAGGGGGGGCTGCAAGGTTATTCTAGGGGGGTCACGGTATTGCCACCCTGACTTCTGCACTGCCTTCAGAGCTGGGCAGCTGCAGAATGGCAGCTGTTGGCCAGGAGCCCAGATCTGAAGGCAGTGCCCCGCCGGCAGCAGAACAGAAGTAAGCGTGGCAATACCATATGATGTCACCCTCACTTCTGCACTGCTGCCTTCAGAGCTGGATGGCTGGACAGTGGTAGCTGCTGACTGAGGGCCCAGCTCAGCAGGCAACAGCGCAGAAGTAAGGGTGGCAATACCACACGAGGCCATCCTTCCTTCTGTGCTGCTGCCGGCAGCTGCTTTGCCTTCAGAGCTGGGCTCCTGGCCAGCAGCCACTGCTTTCCTGCTGCCCAACTCTGAAGGCAGCACCACCACAGAGAGCAACAGCAGAAGTAAGGTTAGCAGTAGTGCAACGCTCCCTACAATAACCTTGTGAAACCCCCACAACTCCTTTTTGGGTCAGGACCCCTACAATTACAACAACGTGAAATTTCAGATTTAAATAGCTGAAATCATGAAATTTACAATTTTTAAAATCCTATGACCATGAAATTGACCAAAACGGACAGTGAATTTAGTAGGACCCTACTCACAGGGGTGCTGCAAGGTATATTTAATAGGTGTAAATAGACTTATGCCTACTGTAGAACTGGAAATTACCTGCTAGAACATCTCCAGAGATTTCACAACTCCCTGCAAATAAACTAAAGAGCAAATATTCCCAGTGCTTCCCCTCCCCCAAACTGGGCTGGCGGATCGGGCAGGGAGTGACCACTCAAGCGCTTGCCTATTGTTAAATCATGCTCTCCAACTTGTCTGAGTAGGACCAGCTGGAGCACTGTTCAAATGTTCACACTTCCTTACAGACAAGGTCAATAGCCAAGAATATGCAACCAAGTGAAAAAGTTAACAAGCGTAATAAGCAGTTCTACAGTGTATTCTTCAGTGCTGTCATTCAGCCAAGCCAGTCTTCCCACTGTGAAACAGGAGGAGGAGCTCAATGGGCTTCTGAAACAATACTACCAGAAGTCCTCTGGGTCCTAACAAATAAGGGAAATGTTGGTGATAGGGTGTTTCATATACACACTTACCAGGGGGAACTGGTAATTCAGCAAAATTCACTTTTCTCCCTGCTTTATGGGTTCTTATGGCATCTTGGTATTGCTGTAATCAGAGATGCTGGTTAGGCATAGGCTGGACTTGGCTATTGTTAAGTTAGCAGTCATTTCATGCTCAAACTAGGAGAAACACTGATGCAGAATGTAAGGTGCTTTGCTATAAAGTCACATGCTGCTTTCCAAGTTCTTTGTGCACTGCAGGTTTTCTATACAAACATGAATCTTTGCTGAACTTGTTGCCAGGACCGGCATAGGCCTTGAAGGGCTGCAGAAATCACAAATGCAGACAGTGAGCAAAATAAGTGTCTCTCTCATCTTTCTTCCTAGTGGCCTCTCCACTCCCTAGACCAGTGGTCCCCAAACTGTGGGGCTGTCAGGGTTCCCTCCCCACTCTGAACTCTAGGGTACAGATGTGGGGACCCGCATGAAAGACCCCCTAAGCTTATTTCTACTAGCTTAGGTTAAAAATTTCCCCAAGGCACAAATCCTTCCTTGTCCTTGGATGAGTACTGCTGCCACCACCAAGTGAGTTAGACAAAGATTCAGGAAAAGGACAACTTGGAGTTCCTGTTTCCCCAAAATGTTCCCCCAAGCCCCTTCACCCCCTTTCCTGGGGAGGCTTGAGAATAATCTACCAACCAGATAGGTAAACAAGGTGAGCACAGACCAGACCCTTGGGTTTTTAGGACACTAAAACCCAATCGGATTCTTAAAAAAACAGAACTTTATTATAAAGAAAAAAAAGTTAAAGAAGCACTTCTGTAAAATCATGATGGAAGATATTTTACAGGGTAATAAGACTTAAAACACAGAGGATTCCCACCTAGGCAAAACTTCAAAGTTACAAAAAACAGGGATAAACCTCCCTCTTAGCATAGGGAAAATTCACAAGCTAAAACAAAAGATAATCTAATGCATTCCTTGCTATTACTTACTATTTCTGTAATATTAGATGTAACATTTCAGTAGCAGCTGGATTACTTGCTTGGTCTCTCTCTTTGTCTCAAACACACACAGAGCACAAAACAAAGCCTTCCACCCGCCCCAGATTTGAAAGTATCTTCTTTCCCCATTGGTCCTTCTGGTCAGGTGCCTACTAGGTTAATTGAACTGATTAACCCCTTACAGGTAAGGGGATTCTGTATCTCTGGCGAAGAGGGATTTTATTTTACTGTATACATAAAGGTTGTTATCCTTCCCTTTATATTTATGACAGAGGCGCACCCTGAACATTCAGGGGGGTGCACAGGGGGCCCAGGTCAGTCCCCATGTTGGGGGCAGGGAAGCAGTGCCCCCCAGCTCTGCTCCTGCCCCCACCCCCCAAGCTGCATCCCTGTCCCCCAGTCGCGGCCCCGCTCCACCCTCGTTCAGAATGGCCCTCTCTGTCTCCTGGCCAGCTCCACCTCCTAGCCCCAGCTCCTCCCCCATCCCCAGTTCTGCCCTCATTCCCTCTCTGCCTCCAGGTCAGCTCCACCTCTAGCCTCAGCTCCTCCCCCACGTCCCCAGCTCTGCCTTCAGCCCAAGCTCCTCTGTTGAGGAAGCCTTGACTGTGCAGTAATGGAGCAGTGTCCGCAAAGAGATTCCATTATTGGTCAGGGGGCATGACAGTAACTGCCCAAGGCAATGAGCCTTTTCCTCACACTCCACCAGTAAACAAACAAAAGACATTTCTCTGCGGAAGCGTGTCCGCAAAAAACCTCAGAACTCCAGGGACTGGATAATCAGAGAGAATTTTTCAGACTAGTCTTTTTTTTGTGAGCCTCCAGTTCTGCACTAATGATTGTACCCACAACAGAGGTCCCTTAGATGTCTATGTCCCTGTGTTCAAGCCCACAGAAATGGAAGAATAGTGTCTGAGTACCCAACCTTTAACATCCCTCAGTTTCAACAGGTTCACACATTAACTGCTTGTGTCCCATGGAGCCTAGTACAAATTGCTTGATACACATTCGACACCATCCCATGAAAACCATTTAGGGGACTGGTACTCCCGCCTTCTGCAGTGGCGCACAAGAAACAGCATCAAAGAGGTTACACTGTATTGAAAGTCTATTATGCAGCCAGAAGGGATGGCTGAGGAGTCTAAACATTATATTTTAAAGATCCATTCCTCCTTAGACTCTCAGCCTCCAGTCAGTTATGTCAGCACTACATTCTATAGGCAGTTTAAGTTCCCATCCAGAGAATTCCTGCCTTGTAAAGACCAAGGTTCTACATGGAGGAGTAAAACGCCATATCCATGTAGGGGTTTGCACAAGTGTCTTTGGACAAAATGTCTCCATCCCCCCACTGCTCTGCCTTGAAGCACTGAATTTCAATGGGGTTGTATATGCACAGTTTATAGAATATTTCATTGATAGAGGTGCTGTGCAGGAAGGAGCAGAAGGTTAACTATTTTAGCTCATTCCAGCTGGCCGGACAATATACATAAATTATTTCAAATACTTTAATGCTTTGCTAGCCAGCTCCAGAGGAATGAGCTCAAGCAGCTTTGCTGAAGCCAAGCTACTTACTGTGCTTCCCTTTTACCTTGGCTATCCTCTCATGCATCCTGCCTTTCCGATCATCCCCACTTGCTTTGGCCTGTGCTGCTGCAGATCTGTATTTCTCCAACCTCTGCTGCAAAGCTTCCAGCACAGTTTTCGGCTGCTGAGCAGACACTGAAATAATACAGACAATAAAATGCCACATGATTGAGACTTCAGAACATGTGCCAGCTGCCTCCATTCCCTGCCTTCCCCAACCTCCTGCAGAGCCATTGACACAGAACTGAAATCCTATCAAGGGCTACTTTTATTACATAAAAGCACCACAGAGCTTTATTACTGACTAAGTGTTGTTAAACCTTTTTCTTCATAAAGAAGAAGTTATTCACTTGTGCAGTAACGATAGCTCTTTGAGATGTCTCCCCCATGGGTGCTCTACTGTAGGCGTAATTGCACCCCTGTGCTGCTGATTGGAGAATGTTGGTAGCAGTGGCCATAGGTCTGCACATGACTCTCTCTCCTCGTGCCCTGCAATGAGGCTAGCCAGCATGCACAAACTAACGCCCTTCAGCTCCTTCTCTACCACAGAGTCATTGATAAGTACTCTGAAGTAGAGGAGAGGCAGCTGGGTTGTGGAGCACCCACAGGGGGACAAATCTCGAAGAACCATTGTTACTGCACAAGGTGAGTAACAACTTCTTCTTTGAGCAGTGTTCCTATAAATGCTCCACTGTAGGTGACTCCTATGCAGTACATGTATGGAGGGCTGGGACTTCAGAGTTGGGTCAGTTACAGATGACAGTACTGTGGAGCCAAAGATGACATTGGAGGCAGAGTCCGCAGTGATCACATAATGTTCTGCGAAGGTGTGGACTGATGTCCATGTCGCCACTCTACAGATCTCTGAGACAGGGACATTCTTGGAGAAGGCAACAGATGAGGCGATGACCTTGTGGAGTGTGTACAAATAGTATCTGGAGAGGTCATATTGCTAACTTGTCTGATATAGTTAAAGACCCACTTGGAAAGCCTTTAGGCTGATATTACCAAGCTGTTGGATCTTTCCGCAACAGAGAGGAAAAATCTGGGGGACTTCCTGAAGGCCTTCGTTCTGTCCAGGTGGAAGGCTAGGGCCACTCTGACATCACGGGTATGTAATACAGCCTCTCTGTTGTCTCAGTGAGGCTTAGGATAGAAGGTTGGAAGATGAATCAATTGGTTTATGTGAAACAGAGAGGTTACCTCAGGGATGAATTTTGGATGTGGTCTGAGCGTAACCTTGTCCCAAACAATAAGATATAGGGGGGGACGTGCCATCAGAACTGCTATTTCTCCTATTCTCCTTCCTATCAGGAAGGCTGTTTTCACTGAGAGGTAAGTAAGCAAACAAGTGGCCATGGGTTCGAAGGGATGCCTGGTCACTCCTTTCAGTATCAGGTTTAAGTCCTATGTGGGACTGGGAAGCCAAGTTTGCGGAAAGAAGTTTACTATACCCTTGAGGAACCTTTTGGTGGTTGGGTATGACAGAACTGAGTACCCCTCTACTGGATGGTTAAAGCCACTAAGTGGACTCTACGACAGCTTACAGACAGCCCCAGTCTTTTTAGGGCCAGTGCATAATCTAAGATGTGTGGAAAGGTCATGGATGTCAGGGAAACATTTGTTGGAATGTACACCAAATCCAAAAGCTGGACCATTTTTGCAGTTAAGTACGCTGTGTTGAGGATTTTCTGCTGTTTAACAATACCTCTTGCACTTCCATTGAACAGGTGCTCTCTAGGTATTTGAGCCAAGAAGGAGCCATGCCTTGAGGTGGAGAATCACCAGGTTGGGATGTAGAGTATGTTCTCTATTCTGTAAGAGGAGTCGCAGAGTGAGTGGGAGAGAGATTGGTGGGCGTGTTGCAAGCTGTGACATGTAAGGGTACCAGGTCTGTCTCAGCCACGAAGGAGCAATTAGACTGATATGTTCCCTTTCTTTTTATTTTCGGTAGGACCTTCAATAGCAGGGGAAAGAGAGGGAAGGTATAAAGGAGGTCCCTGTTTCAAAGGAGGAGGAGAGCATTGCCTAGGGAGTATTGTCTTATCCCTGCTCTGGAAGGGGTAGCTTGAACATTTCTTGCTCAGGGAAGTGGTGAACAAGTCTGTAGTCAGTGTCCCGCAATGCCTGAATAGCTCGTGAAGTACTAATGAATCTAGTTCCCACTCGTGGTCATGTGGGAATTTGTGACTAAGGCCATCCACCATCGAGTTCCGTGTACCTGGGAGGTAGGCCGTTGACAGCGTGACGTCATGGGAGATACATCAGTTCCATAGTCTCATCGCTTCCTCACAGAGGGAAGGAGACCCAACTCTCCCTCATCAATTTATGTAGAACATACAGGCAACATTGTCTATTAATACTTTCATGTGTGACCGTTTGATCAGCAGGAGGAAGTAGATACAGGTATTCCTGACCACGCTTAGAGGAGGTTGATGTGATATCTCAGTGGGTGACCATTTTCCTTGGGTCGTAAGGTCATTTAGATGTGTGCTCCACCCTATGAGCGATGCATCGGTGGCGAGAAGCAACAACGGAGTTTTTGCGCAAAGGGAATCCCTTTGCAAATGCTGGCTGGGTCTTTCCACTGGTCTAGGGAGATTTTGACCTTGGTGGGTAGTGACAGGGGTTTGTCTAGTCTGTTTCTGTTTGGTCGGTGAACTACATCTGAAGGCACCGCATGTGAAGTCTGGTGTGAGGTATTACCACTGTGCCCGCTGCCATATGCCCTAAGAGTTGTAGAAAATGTCTGGCTAACATTTGTGGGGTGTTTTGAATGGTCTCTGAGAGTGTAGTCAGAGAGACCGACCTGTGCTGAGGTAGGAGGGTTCTGGCCTATAGTGTGTCAAGGTTGGCCCCTATAAACTCCAGGTGCTGCACTAGAGTGAGAGTTGATTTCTGAGCACTGATCTGCAGGCCCAGCTCTGTAAACAAGCGAATTGTGGTTTTGGTGATTCAGTGAGCCTCTTGGAGAGGCTGAGCTCTGAGGAGGCAATCGTCTAGGTAAGGGTAGATCATGATCCCTGGTGCATAAGTAGGTGGCCACTACTGAGAGAACCTTGGAAAATACTCTCGGGGCTGATGATAACCCAAAGGGGAGCACCATGTACTGGCCGTGGTCTTGTCCCAGAGTGAATCTAAGAAATCATCTGAGAGTTGGTAGGATTGAGATGTGAAAACATGCATCCTGAAGATTGAGGGCTGAAAACCAGTCTCCCCATTCCAAAGCTGGAATGATGTTGCTAAAGTGACAATTTTGAATTTCTGAGCTGTGACAAACTTGTTCACAGTGCTGAGGTCTAATATGGGTCTCCAGCCCCCTTTTCTCTGGGTATTAGGAAATACTGAGAATAGAACTCTCTGCCTCATGGATGTTGAGGTACCGTTTCTATGGCTCCCAACTGGAGGAGACTGTCTACTTCTTGTTGTAGAAAACTCTCGTGAGAAGGGTCCCTGAAGAGGGACAGGAAAAGGTGTTGTGGAGGGGGCAGAGAGGTAAAATGGAGAGTGTACCTGTAGCCATCTCTAGGACCCATCAGTCTGATGTTATGTACTCCCAGGTGCTGCGGAAAGCTGCCAGATGGTGGCCAAATGGGTGGGTAGTGATGGTTGGTTGTAACAGTTGCAGAGAGTGGTTTGCTGGCACCTTGACCAACATATCAAAATTGGTGTTTGGACATGAATGGCTGGGACAAGGAAGATTGCTGACCATAAGATTTATGTCTTGAGAATTTAATTTTCTTCCTCTGCAGCTTGTAGTATCATTTAGCTGGCTACTGGCATGTGAAAAGATTATGTTGGGGCTGCGGACTAAATTTCCTTTTTTGTCCCAATGTGTAGGTGCCCAGTGAATGGAGAGTGGCCCAAAAATTCTTCCAAGTGTGAAGGGAGGCATTGGTTTTCTCCGCGAAGAGCTTACTGCCCAGAAGATCTTCGACAGTTGCCTGCACCTCCTTTGTGAAACCCGACAAATGGAGCCAAGAGGCACGCTGCATCACCACTGCCATGGAGATGGATCTGGCTGCAGTATCGGCACCGTTGAAGGCAGACTGTATAGTTATCTTTGCTTCTAGCTACCCCTCTTGAATGATGGCCTTAAATTGGTTGCGATGCGACTCGGGCAGCTGCTCAGTTAAATTGTTCAGTTTTGAGTAGTTTGTGGAATCATATTTCACCATGAGGGCTTGGTAGTTGGTGATTCAAAACTGAAGCGTGACTGAGGAGTACAACTTCCTTCCAAAGTGGTCCAGACGCTGCCAGTCCCTATCATAGGGAGCGGACCTCATGTGGTATCGATGGCCACGAGAATTAATAGCATCCACCATGATGCAGTAGGGTAGAGGGTGGAAGAGGAGGAACTTTGCTTCTCTCACTGGGACACAGAACTTTTAGTCTGATCTCTTGCAATTCGGTGCAACTGATACTGGGGTCTACCATATGGTTCTCGCAGGGTCAAGAAGAGCCTCATTGATAGGGAGGGCAACTTTTGAGGAGGAAGATCAGAGGAGGATGTCCAGAAGCTTGTGGTGTGTGTCCTTGACCTCCTTCAGCAGTATCTGGAGAGAGTCAGCCACTCTCTTTGTGTGATCCTGGAATAGGCAAAAATTATCCAGCAAGGATTGTGAGGGAGGCATGACAGCCTCATCTGGGGAGGAGGAGGAGGAGGATATAGTTTTTGGGGTCACTGCCTCCTCAGCATCACACTCACACTCCTCCAGGACTTCTTCTGGGGGCTCCGGAGCCCTGGACACCGTGTCGAAGAAGTGCGTCTTGGGGACTCACGGGTGGGACTAGAAACCTGAGAAGCATGGGGGCAGTATGCAGCCCAGCAGTTCCAGTAGAGCCACTGGGGTGGCATGGTGCTCTGTGATGGCACCCATGCATGGCCGTTTGAGGATGATGATAGTGGGGTCTTCTGAGGATATGCTTGGGGGCCCTGCTGGTATTGGGCACCCTAGGGGGCTTGGGAGGAGTACTAAAATATTCCCTCCTCCAGTTCACTATCCAAGTCCACACTAGAGATCGGTGGAACATGGCAAGGCAGCACGGAAGACTCCCATACTGGACGAAGGCTAGGTGTGGAGATCCTGGTACCGAAGAGAGGAGACTCGACTCTGGCACATCAGTTACACGGAGATCCCTCGAGTGCTGGAACTGTGGTGGCTTGATGCCACTGGCAGTGCCAGAGGTGGATGGAGATATTGTCCACACCGGTTGTTCATGTACTGGTTGTTCAAGAAGCATTGTACCAATGGGGCATCACAGTACCAGTGGTGCCTTGGAGTGTTTGCTCCTGTCCTCCTTCTTAGGTATCACTGACTTGGTGCCTGTGATAATTGAGTCTGTGGGCGTGTCAATGGTACCTGCCGCAATAGTCTTTCTTGAGCTGTGGATACTGGGCTTGGCCCATTTCAGCGCCGACAGTACTGAGGATACGAAGCATGCTGGGAATCATTTGTAGCTAGCTTGCGGCTCACTGTGGGGACTTCCCACTCTTTTTTCAACTTATGAGAGCATCAGCGGCTGATTTCTTTACCCCATAGCCCTTGGATTTGCCCGGAGACTCTTGGTGTGTGTCTGGAGAAGGTCTGAGAGCCACCTCCATGAATATACTCTTCTGCCTCAGCTCTCTGTCCTTGCGAGACCGAGGTCTAAGATGCTGGCAGAGAGCACAATTTTAAGGGACATGTCCTTCACTGAGGCAACGAATGTACCGTGAGTGTGTGTCTGCGACGGTGATAGCCTCATTGCATGAGAGGCACTTCTTGAAGCCTGGAGAACCAGACATACCCCACTGGGGGAAGGGCCTCCAACAAGAAGGGTGGGAAGGAAAAAAAGTAAACCATATTTATTTATTTTAGAAGATAAGGTAAAAAATAAAGAAACTACTACTAAAAATTAAGCTCTAGGCTGCAAAGAAAAGGATGAGATAAACGTCACTAATGGACAGCTAACAGCTCTGTCTCTAGCCGAGGCGGTTGAGAAGCAACTGAGGGGGTTAGCCCATGTGCACTCGCTACCCTCATGGCAGGGCATGAGGAGAGACAGCATGTGTGTGGACCTAATGGATATTGCTACTGAAATTCTCCAATCAGCAGCTTAGGGATGCAAGTACACCTACAGGTTTCAGAGTAGCAGCCGTGTTAGTCTGTATTCGCAAAAAGAAAAGGAGTACTTGTGGCACCTTAGAGACTAACAAATTTATTTGAGCATAAGCTTTTGTGAGCTACGAAAGCTTATGCTCAAATAAATTTGTTAGTCTCTAAGGTGCCACAAGTACGCCTTTTCTTTTTGCGAGTACACCTACAGTAGAACATCCATAGAAACACTACTCATAGGAACACTACTCAAAGTAGAAAGACCATTTATTATGTACTGCCATTATCCATTCCAGTATTCATGTATAATTTGGATCAGCATCCAAATATCATATAAGAATATGACTTACTACAGAGAAGTCCTGCTTTACAAATCCTACCTGAGGCTTCATGGCCCTGAGGTTTGAACGTTGTGAGGGGCTGGGAATTTTCAACGGGAACAGATGCCATCTGGTTTGATGGAGCCTGCGTCTTTTTCAGGCTTTCAAGATCTGTGAGGGAAGAGGCAATTTTCAAGTCTACATTAGGTAGGAATCTTTGGCATATAGGAGAGAATGTATGAACAATCTTGGTAATTTGCTAACAATTCTAGGACTTACGGCCAGAGAAGGATAGATAAATAACCCCACCTAAGATATTCCAGCCCTGGCAGTGCTCAACACTGGATGCTTTAAAAGGCAATCTCCCACATCACCTCTCCAAATGTTGTATTTACTTATATAATATTATACTATGGGGAAAAATATTCCTCTGATCCCAGCCAGTGATAATTTTATGTCCTAAGGATTTATACCCCTTATAAAATGTTTATCCTAGCTAGTGTAACTACACTTTTTCATAATTAAAGCGATGTCCAATTATGTTTCTGAATCTTACTAAGCTGCCTCAACAACATCCTACATCCGTGAGTTCTACAGGTCAAGTGTTGGGGGAGTATTGTTTTTATCTAGTTTAAGTCTTCTGCAGGACTGGAATTTATTTTAACACCAATGTTTGTTCCAGGATCAGAAATTTCTACTAGTCCTAAAAGTATGGGTCATGGTCCATCCACATGTCTGTAACTGTCAGGTCATGTGATAGACTTTAAAAATGATACCATTCTGATTAGCATCTTGTCCTCCTCATTTCTCCTTCCACTAACCATTTTAGCTGCTGCTATCTCTGAATTTACAAGAATCAGAAAATTACACCTGATATCAACTGGAACCTGTAATTCCCAGAAGCGTGCAGATGAAGATGAAATCAGTGAATGAAGTCACTGAAGATGAAATCAGAATGTAGAAGTTTTAAAAGGAGAGGCACTCTGTCTTACAACCTGTCACTTAAATCAGAGTTTCTATTACTCTAGTTTGTGGAGCAGCTTCTGTCACAATGGAAAAACATGTGTTATACTGCAAGGATTGATGTTTCCTGATAAGTGTAGGCTAGTCAAAAACATTCAGTTTTCTACAGGCTTTTTTTTTATTATTAAATAAAGATGTTCAAAACACACCCTGCTCACAAGCCTCTCTGCATCCCTATGGTGCTTCGTATCTTTATTTGATGCAAATACAACTTATGACACCAGAATTGGAGACATCCAGCAGGAGAGAACCAAATCACAAAATGAACTAGACAGATTTAAGGGAAGGAAAGGGATGAAGAGGGTTGGAGGAAACAAAGAGAGAATCAGTTCTAAGAAATGTAAATTCCTATTTCCCAGGGTGGGGTGGGGTGTGTGAAAGACATACAAAATGGAAAAGGCATAATCAAGAAGCTACACCCACTGCACTACAGCAAGTTCAACACCATCTTGACTCCTTTATCTTACCCCAGTAATGCTATTTCATATAGCCATGAATTGGAGATGATGCAGAGAATGCGTGGAATCAGGACTGGGGGGCAGGGAAGATGTCCACAAGAGGATCTTTGGTCCACAATCTGGAGTCCAAAAACCACTGTCTTAAACCATTGGGAAGCTGGGATTCTCAGCACTCATTTCTAACCCAGATGGTTCAAAAGAGTGACTTTAAAATGGGCGCTGACCCTTCAGTTCACTATGCCCATTTGTTACTAGATAACAGGAGAGGCTTAAAAGGCAGCTTTTTTATGTCCATCTAAAAAACTCTTCTGCTCTTACCTTGTGGAGCTGGGGGCATATCCTGGAGGTCTACTGGCTGTCCACTATCCAGTGCTTCTAAGACCATTGCACATTTCTAAAACAAACAGAAAAACAAAGCCAAAGGAGACTTGTCTTGTGTGTTCAGAAACCATCCATGATCATTTGGAGCAGCCATGTGAACACAGGGATCATTTGCCAGGATTCAGACCCCTAACACAGAAGCTTGGTTTGTGAAAACATACCTTGCCAGTCTTCATATATTCTTTTGCCTTCTCTAGATCTCCTTGCTGTTTGGCTTTCAGAGCTGCTAATTTATATTCTTTCTGTCTTGTAACCAGTAGTGTTCGTGTGCTCATGTTAAGGGAATCTACAGAAGAATGAAATCAAGACTTATAAAGGCACCTGATATCTGCATCCTTTGACATTCTCATACATCCAAAGATTCATTATTTCCCTATTGCTTTCACTCACACATCCACATTATGTACAATAGCTTCTTTATCCAGGGGCATCCCTAGAAGTCCTGCCAACCATGGCAATTCCAGCAACAATGACTGAAAACACCACTGTGCAATTCCACAGTGCCTTTCATTAAGATCACAAAGCTCTTTACAAACAGTGAATTTTTCCTCACAGCTCCTCTGCAAGGCAGGGAAGCATTACCATCATTAATTGACCGAGGAAGTGAGGCAGAGAGACCACAATGAGAGATGTGAACAGACACCTCAGAAGAGGAAGGAACCTTTAGGATGTCTTCACCCTGTCACTATAGCACATCCTTAGAGTGAAATCTGGGAGTCAGGACTCCAAAGTTCTATTCCTGACTGCAACTGACTCAACTGTGTGACCCTGAGCAAGTCATGAACTCTGTGCCTCAGTATCCTATTTGTAAAGCACTTTGATACGCTCAAGTAAAAGGTGCTACAGAAGCGCAATGTATTATTGAATCATAACCTGGCTGGGATGATGTGTGCTCCAAGGAAAAGCTGGCATGTTGAAATTACCTACCATCTTGTAATGTGGCACCCATTTCCAGGACAGAAGTAGCAGCAGCATGACCTTGTAAAGAGGCTGGCCCCGGAGACAACTTTATATCATTGACAGGCTGTAGCTCATGGTCTGCAGGGGATTCCACTTTCTCCTTGGGTATTACTTTGTCTGGATCACCTAAATTTTCTGGCACAGCTCCTGTGGCTCGAGGCATATTAGCAGAGCTTCTCCCTGATGCTACAGGTGGTGGCATTTCTTCCTCATTAATCTTTTTGCCCTTCTTCATTGCAGCCAGCATAGTTTCCAGCGTCTAGCAAAAATTGAGGAGTGAAGTCAACAGGTACTGGCATTTCCATCACATACACAGCTTGTGTACAATCACCACAACTCAGCAAACTCATATCCTTATTTACAATAGGACCCACCATGTCATTCTTTATGGAGAGCTACTAGACATCTCTGCCCATTCGTATTTCCTCCTCCTATTTTTTTTGGACACATGGGAGTCTTAGCCCTGCTGAAACATGCCTGATTGACACAGCAACAGTTTTTCTCTATAGAGCAAGTAATACAAGCTTCCTCCATTCTACCCTGTCAGTATATCACAACAAACATGATGGTAGAGGATCCTACCTCTAGGAATGAGAAGACAGGTCAGTCTCTATGGCCCAATCAATCTTTTGTGGCTCAGACTTCCAAAAGGTGAGCCATTCAGTGCCAACTATGGAACTAAATTTTGTAGTAAGTCTTGGTATATTTTAAACACAGCCTTTAGTGTGGTATCTTAGTGCAAGTGCAGATCTCTGTCCAGCAGATCTGGAATGAGATCACCAAATTAATTTCACATGGCCCAGGCAGCCATCAGATGGTAACAGACAAAACTGGATTTGAACCAGCTTTTGAAAGGTGAAAGGCCCCTGCTCTTACTTCCAAACTCATGAGCTACACAGTCCCCTTGCTAAGTAACAAAGCCCAATTTCAGCTGAATTCTTTAACCCAACACCAACCATTATCCCCATTATAGGGGCTACTTAACACCTAGGTTAGGCAACAAAGCCAAAAAAGTAACATGGACTTCACAGCAGAACATACATTTATGAGAAAGTCACGTGGAACTGTGTCAAAACAGCATAATTAAAATCAAGATATATTACATCTACGATTTCCCTCCTACCCACTAGCCCAGTAACCCTGTCAAAGAAGGAAATTAGGTTGGTTTGGCATGATTTGACAAATCCATGCAGGCTAGAACCCTATTATCATTCAGGTGCTTACAACATGATTATTTAATAATTTGTTCCCGTATCTTTCCAGATGTTGAAGTCTGGCAGACTGGTCTTTAATTCCCTGGGTCCTCTTTGTTCCCCTGTTTAAAGAAAGATAGGTACTGTGTATGCCCTTTTCCAGTCCTCTGGGACCTCACCCATCCTCTATGAGTTCTCAAAGTGCTAATGGTTCTGAGATTGCTTCAGATGGCTCCTTAAGTACCCTAGGATGAATTTCATCAGGCCTTGCAGACCCGAATAACTCTAACTTATCTAAATATTCTTTAGCCTGTTCCTTCCTAGTTTCAGCTTGCATTCCTTCTCTTTTGTTGTCACTATTGTGTTGAGTACCCGGTCACCATTAATCTTTTTAGTGAAGACTGAAGCAAAATAGGCATTAAACACCTCAGCCTTCTTGATGCCACCAGTTATGAGCACTCCTTCCCCACTAGATAGAGGGCCTACATTTTCCTTTGTCTTCCTCTTGTGCCTAATGTCATTTATAGAATGTCACCTTATTGCCTTGTATGACACTGTATGGAATATAAGTGACCATTTGTAATATTACTGATAGCAATATTATAAATAGGGTCCTACCAAATTCACAGTCCATTTTAGTCAATTTCACAGTTATAGGATTTTAAAAATCATAAATTTCATGATTTCAACTATTTAAATCTGAAATTTCACAGTGCTGTAATTGTAGGGGTCCTGATCCAAAAAGGAGGTTGGGGGAGGGGGGTGGAACGACAAGACTATTGTAAGGTGGGTTGCGGTACTGCTACCCTTACGTCTGCACTGCTGCTGGTGGCAGTGCTGCCTTCAGAGCTGGGCAGCTGGAGCGCGGTGGCTGCGGGGCGGGAGCCCGGCTCTGAAGGCAGAGCCACCACCAGCAGCAGCACAGAAGTAAGGACAGCAGGGTATGGTATTGACATGCTTACTCCTGCGCTGCTGCCTGCTGATCTGGGCCCTCAGTCAGCAGCTCCTGCTCTCCGGCCACCCAGTTCTGAAGCTAGCGCAGAAGTAAGGGTGGCAATACCATGACCCCCCGCCCCCAATAACCTTGCAACCCCCCTGAAATTCCCTTTTGGGTCAGGGCCCCCAATTTGAGAAATGCTGGTCTCCCCCATAAAATCTGTATAGTACACGATAAAAACACACAAAAGATCAGACTTCACAGGAGACCAGATTTCAGGGTCCATGACGCGTTTTTCATGGCCGTGAATTTGGTAGGGCCGTAATTATAAAACTGCTATAAATCTTACAAAATATGCCATGTATCAGTGGAAAAGTTATGATTTGCTAAATATGACAATCATGTTTATATGTAATGAATCCAACATACCTTGAGGCCTCTTTCATACCGTCGTGCTTTACCACTCTCATCTGCCTCCTTCGCATTAGAGATTGCTGCCTTATAGTTAGCGATTCTGTCCTCTATCATCTGTTGCAATTCACTGGAAACAGCAGGAGATGTGCTCTCCAAAAAAAAAAGGGGGGGGGGGAGAAGAAGGCACATTATTTACTTTCCCAAACTACACATGCTTCACCTTACCACTGAAAAGTAAGTATATCCCTTCTGTACAAAGTAACACACGCACAGAGACTGGGCTCAGGAATCAAGACAGCAGGGATGAAATGGAAAATTTCTCTGAAACAGAAGGGCACTTGTACTGCACTAATGTTTCCTGGATCCATCTCTGGGCTTCCTATCAAAGGAGCAATAGAGAGAATTGGGTGGAGTAGTTTAGGAAACTTACAGCCACAGGGTTACTGGAGACCGGGTGGTTAGAACTAAATGAGGGAGAACAGTGATGCCTCTCAGACATCATGTGCCCAGGTGGGCTGGGTGTTATTTTGGGGAGGGAATGTTTGTTTTCTTCACCATGTTAACTTTACACCTTTCCAGGATTCTCACAACTTGGCTTCAATACAAGATCTCCTCTTTCTACCTCCTCTTGTAAGCTGGAAAGTCTGCAGTCTGAGACTTGCCCAGTGAAACAAGCAACAAAAGTAAACACTTACCATTCACTACTTATAAGCACTGTGTTGTCAAATTGACCTGTCAGCTGGCTCCTGATGTAATTATTGCCATTATCTCTACACAGACCTACTCTTGCCCTATTTATTAATGTGCACAATGCACGGAAGTCCTGAAATCTGTATTGTATGACAACAGAAGAAAAGCAACAACTGAACAAAGAACGTGCCTGGATAGACAAATTCAATAGAGAAACAGATTCTGAAATTCTACATAACTCAGCACCACTGACAGCCTGCTTAGGAGAGGCCTCAGGATTAAAACAGCAACAGCTACTGCAGGTTAGGATTCAGATGCACTGACAAAAAGGTTCGGCATGGGGCAGAGGGGCAAAAAACATTGGGATGGTAGATAGTTGGGATGCTGGAGATCAGGACTGAGGTTTCTGTGCGGGGTGTACAGTAGAGCCCTGCAACCTGAACTGCACCCAACGGACCCAACTATGGACTATCAGGTCCAGGTAGGGTGGGAAAACAAACAGAACCTCTTGGTGTGGAACAGGCACAGGGCTAGTAGTCACCATCTCGCTGCTTATTTGATTATAGGATATTACAGGCCATGTGAGGGAGACAGTATGGTCTAGTGGACAGAGCTCTCAACAGACTCAGGAGACCTGGATGCCATTCCCAGCTCTGCCCCGGCCTGCTGGGTGATCTTGGGCAAGTCATTTCCCCTCTCTGTGCCATCTGTAAAATGATAATCATACTGACCTCCATTGTAAAGCACTTTGAGATCTACTAATGAAGAGCACTATCCTTGCAACAAAGCCCGTTGCCAACTGTGCCCACATATCTATTCAGGGGACACCATCATAGGGCCTAATCACATCAGCCACACTATCAGAGGCTCATTCACCTGCACATCTACCAATGTGATATATGCCATCATGTGCCAGCCCCTCTGCCATGCCCCTTTGCCATGTACATTGGACAAACTGGACAGTCTCTACGTAAAAGAATAAATGGACACAAATCAGATGTCAAGAATTATAACATTCATAAACCAAAAAGAAAAGGAGTACTTGTGGCACCTTAGAGACTAACCAATTTATTTGAGCATAAGCTTTCGCGAACTATAGCTCTCATGAAAGCTTATGCTCAAATAAATTGGTTAGTCTCTAAGGTGCCACAAGTACTCCTTTACTTTTTGCAAATACAGACTAACACGGCTGTTACTCTGAAACCATTCGTAAACCAGTCAGAGAACACTTCAATCTCTCTGGACACACTATTTCTAATCTCAAAGTGACTATCCTTCAACAAAAAAACTTCGAAAACAGACTCTAACGAGAGACTGCTGAATTGGAATTAATTTGCAAATTGGATACAACTAATTTAGGCTTGAATAGAGACTGGAAGTGGTTGAGTCATTATACTAAGTGAAACTATTTCCCCTTGTTTATTCCTCCCCTCCTCCTCCCCTCCCCCCCCCCCCCTTCCTCAGAGGTTCTTGTTAACTCCTGGAAATGGCCCACCTTGATTATCACTTCAAAAGGTTTTCTCTCCCCCGACCCCACTCTCCTGCTGGTAATAGCTCATCTTAAGTGATCACTCTCCTTACAATGTATATTTTTTCATGGTCTGTGTGTATATATAAAATCTCCTCACTGTACTTTCCACTTTATGCATCCAATGAAGTGAGCTGTAGCTCACAAAAGCTTATGCTCAAATAAATTGGTTAGTCTCTAAGGTGCCACAAGTGCTCCTTTTCTTTTTGCGAATACAGACTAACACGGCTGCTACTCTGAAACCTATATAAGAACTAGGTATTACTACTATTATGTGTAGTGCAGCATAGCAGAACTGCTTGCAGTTTCAAGACTCATAACAAGAATGCTACAAAGGGGATTAAGGAGCAATAGCAGAGCTGTAAGCTGTACAACGGAAGTCTGCACACATCACCCTAAGAACAACGCAAGATGAAATCTAACTATATCAATATAGTGTCAGCTCCCATCAGGAAACATACAGATGTACAAAATAAGACAGAATATAAAGTAAGCTTGTCATCTTATAAATTGCATAATGAGAATGAATCAGTGGAACTCCAAGTCAACCACACATCTCTTTCTTACCTCTGCCTGCATTTCAGGTTGCTGCTGTATTACTGGTGGAGCTGCTAGCACCTCCATCGCTCCCGTTTCATTCTCACCACTTCCTGTTTCGTCTTGCTTGCCCAGAACCTCCTGCAACTCTGCCTACAGCAAGAATCAGTGAGGTGGTTACTGTAAAGCATGCTCTGCTTTCGGCACCACGTGAACAGATATTGCAGGAACTAAAGCACCTCCCCACTGCCAGAGTGAAAAGAATGATTCAGGTCCTGAAGCCTTTTACCCAAGGCAATGTTTCAGTGTAGCTTATCTACCAATTTGTGTCAAGGGTAACACACTTCCATGGGACACTGACAAGTGATAATCAACAGGGGTGAGAAAGCTGGTTTAGAGAAAGCATGTACCTCCTGGCTCCAGAACCTAGAGTTAAACCTCAAACAGTCTTTGATGTCCCTGAACTTCTCCTGCCTTACGTAATTTCAATTTGTTTTGCTGCTGCCTCCACATACTCTGGTTCTGGCCATGAGTGGAAATGCTCAGCACAATATGAAGGCAATTCCTGGGGAAGCTCACAGTCCAACATACAGTGCTACGGTCTCTTACACAACCCTTTTGTTGGGTAGTAGAAGAACATGCAGTAGCTAAGAGAAGGATCTTTTTTCGGCAGTTGTCTAAATCCCATCTTCAAACCTACAAATAGTCACCCTTCACTAATGACCGTAATAAGTGTAGTTTAGTGCCCCCTCCATACAATCCAGTCACACACAACACAAAAATCATTTTAGCTCAATGATACAGTTATTAGGCCCTGGCCACACTCAGAGCAAAAGTGTCCTAGCCATAGCTAAGTAGAATGATTGCTAAAAGGCTTTCAGCCATGTTTTCCTAACTCACATGGACTGTGATTTTCCTCTCCCCCACACCTCCTCCAAGAACCATATTCACACACACACACACACATTTGTAGTCAGGTACTGGTCTCATCTTGGTATGGACAGGGTCCAACCATTCAAAAATGTTTAAATCAGCTGTAAGTTTTCCATGTCTTAATTTCCCTTTAAAAAGTTGAGAGGCTTTGTTGCTCACAGAATTTACTCCGTGATAGTCTGAATTCCACTGGCAGAAAGTACATACCAAAAGGTCCGTATCCTCCTCCAAACCTTCATCCTCCTCCTTCTCCTCCTCTTCATTCAGGTCCTTCATGCACTCCGCAGCCATCTTTTCAATATGATCCATGGGCAGAGGGGCTGGAGAAGGCAACCAAGAAGAGACAAGCCATGAGGATCTAGCATACTGTTGGACGGTGCAAACCTAAATTATGAGCATACTGTTTGGAAACTAACTGTGAGTTCACTTGTCACTTCTCCCTTTCAACTATAGGCCGTGTTTGTTTCTAATCAGCAAGACAGTAAAGCTGGTGAAGTAATTCCCAGGCCTTTTTTGGCCGAAGCCCCACCACTTGCAATTGATCAGTGCCTTCTGCTCCACCTCCTTTGTCCTGTCACTCCACCTCCTGGTACATTTTCCGTCTTTCTGTTACTTTCTTTTCCTCTCTCTGTTCTATGCTTCTTCCTTTTTTCCCTTTCTGTGTATTTCCCTGGTTTTGATTTATTTTGTTGTCTCTGCTCTCTTCCTCTGGTCCACCCACCTCTGCTCCACTTGACCACATATTCTCCCTCCTCTGTTGCATTTTCACTACATTGTGTTGCAAATTGTCTGAAGGAAAATGTGCTGTTTAGTGCCACCTATGGAAATATGTGGGTGAGGGGGATGAGGGAGAGAACATGCAATCTAAAGCTCCCCACAGCAGATCAGGAGTTCAGGCATACAACTTGATAATTCTGTAGCTTTGACAACTGGCAGGAATTTCAGTTACACATGAGAGAGCTTTTCTTTTTCTTTTAAGAGTAAATTGAATCATGGAGACTATTATTGTCAACAGTACTTATGGTCAAAAGGAATTTTATTTCTAGAGAATTTAGTCTTCCTCCACAAGAACAATGGGTCTGTGTACTCTGAAATGTGCCTCTACTCTACTTCCCTTGTTATATCTAGTGCATTTTTCTTGCCCAGTTGTGTTTAATAACATTCTCCAGAGGATAACGAACATGCAGATTTCCACAGGGACAGGCAGAAGTTTGTATGCTAGAAATTGCAACCTGACCAGATTCTCTCCTTGCTCCATAAAACACATGCTCACCCTCTGTGCTCTCATTTGCACTACAGAAACAGATTCAAACTATTCATTTTCCTTGTCCCCTTGTCAAATAACGGCCTCTGCAACCCAGAGTCAGTAGGAAGTAAAAGAGAGGCAAGGTGGGTGAGGTAATATCTTTTATTGGACCAACTTCTATTGGTGAAAGACACATGCTTTCACCACAGAAGTTGGTCCAATAAAAAAAGATATAATCTCACCCACCTTGTCTTTCTAGTATCCTGGGACCAGCATGGCTAAAACAACACTGCAAATGGAGGTAAAAGTACATTTTAAAACTTTTCCTAAGCATTTACAATATTGGAAACAGCCAGATTTACAACTATGAAGGAGCAAGGTATAAAATACTCAGGTAAGACAACTTGAGATGCCTGGCTCCTACCTCACGCTTGTTATACCCTGGTGTAACTCCATTTACTCCTGACTTACACCCACATGGGACATAGCAGAATCAAGCCTTACATAAGAATATGAGTTGCTTAGAGCAACTTGTAACTTAAAACAAATGAAACTAGCTGCTGCCACTTGAACGTGCACCCTAAACTGTACTTATTAAGCCACAGGTTTCAGAAGCTATGCCTCCAGTGCAGAGTTGACTTAACCAAGCTTGAGTGAGAGCAGCCACACCAAGAAATAATGCGTGAGCTGCACAGTAATTGTTTTACTAGTTGACATGTTGTGCTAACTGGAGTTGTGTTCCATATTTCTTGATGGGCCAGCCAACTTGAGTTAAAAGCATCACCACACTCCAGTTAAGGGTTTTTGTACATGGATGGGACTTGAGTTAGGTGTAACACTGGCATTATAACTCAAGTTAACTCTGCAGTGAAGACAAACTCTTAGTAGCCTTCATACAACATGATCCCCTCTCGGCTCATGATGCACAAAGTATCTATACCATAGATCCTCAACATTACACTTCCTAATACATTCACCTTCAAACATTTCTCTATTTATATTTTCTTCCAAATACTGAAATATTTTTACTATTTGTATTGCAGTAGAACCTGATGGCCCCAACTGAGATCAGGACCTCATTGTGCTAGGTGCTGTTCATAAACAAAGCAAGAAACAATCACTACAGAGAGTTTACTGAGTAAATAGACCAGCGACAAAGTGTGGGGAAAAGGAATAAATTCAATTTTATAGGTGAAGAACTGAGTCACAGAGAGTTTTAGGCCCAATCATGCAAAAAGAACCACATAGGTGACCCCTGCACACAGGTGTAGAACATTTAAATCAATGTGTTTTTAAGCAATTTCAGGGGTCCACTTGGGACCTCAGTGACTAGGCCAAGATCACCAGAATTCCGTGGCAGAGTGCGGAACTGAACCTAAATCTCGAGTCCTAGTTCACTTCTTTACCCAAAAGATTATCTGTCTTCTCTGTTTAAACTGTGCACATATTAATCAATTCCAGGCAGCTCTCATCTGCAGAGAATAGATAAAACCACCAGAGTCCAGCAGGAGAACTGAAAAAATAATAATTCACTACTAACCCAATACCAGATACACAATGAGCAACACAAACCTTTTGCTTGCTACCAAAGCGAAAAGTGTGGACAACACCTCAGAACAATAAACAGATTTTGTTTGTTTCTTTAAGATTGACAAAGAATCTTTGCCACCAGACAGGCTTTCCCCTTCAGCTTCGTAGCACTAACAAATGGTCCCATAATTCATAGCATACAAAATAAGTGCTGCAAACCAAAACATGCTGCCATTGGGGAAGGCTTCCCCTCTTCAATCCATAGGAGTGCCACAAGCCAAGCTGAATATTGGAATTTAGATCTGTCACACAAGTCAGAGAATGTTGCCCCTTATTCCCCCTCTGCCTACCCAAGATGCTACTGTTCTGATCATCTTCCTCTCCTATTGTCTGAGCAAGTTCTCTTCTTCTCATCTCCTCACTGGCCACTGGTCCCCTCCTCTTCTACTTCTGTTTAAGCTTCCAATTCTAATTCTCTTCTTGAAAACTCTACCCAACTCCTCCCCTACTTAACCCTCTGATCTCACCTCCACCTATGCTCATTCTGCCATCTGTCCAACCATCTCTCCTAATTGCTCCATTTTGTATTCTATGTTCATTCCCAAATATGTGCCTTCTTCCCCACCACCGCCTACATCCTGTTTAAACTAGTCTTATTCTTCCTCCTGCACAGACATGGGTCAGATTCTGCCCTCAGTTATACAAGTGAAAACAACAGTAGGATTTCACCTATAGCCTTAATTCCAGAAAAACAGGGATGCAATGCTCAAGCAATGCCACTGCTGACAAATGTGCTGCTCACACCTGAGGAAAACATTTGACACCTTCAGTGGGCATAACGAATACTGACTCATAAAACCTTACAGAGATGATGAGGATTAACCTTCATTCTACAGATGGGGAAAAGTGAAAAAAAAATGTTAAGTGACTTCATGAGCTCCAAAGAAAGAGTCTGTGTCAGAGATGGAAGTAGAGCTCAGAAGTTCCTGGTTCCCAGACTTATTCTCAAACAACCAGACCTTACCTATACGTTATACAGGCAGTAGTGACAAAAAGATAAAAATTAAAACCCAGTGTGGCTGAAAGTACCCACAGGAAACTCACAGAGAGAAACAGTGGATCTGATGACACAAAGGGCATCTATCTCCTCATACGCAGATCTAGAACACATTCCCTTAGTCTCAGGGTATTATCAGGATTACTGATGAAGACCTTTATTTAATGCTTTCTAAATGTCATTAGTTATAAGAGCTAGAAAGGAGAAGTCAGTTATAGGATTCTTTAATTCAATCAACAGGATTTTTTATTTGATGGCCAGTTTTTTAAAAAAAATATACAATTGTACTTTGATACAACAGAATTTCTATTAAAAGTAAGATTTAAAAAGGGAACAGGCTGAAGAAACAGCTGCATTAGCTTATTTCAAATACTTTAAAATCTTCTGCATTTATTATTCTTAAAGGGTAACTATTATCTTGAAATCTAGTCAGTATCAAAATGAATTAAATTTAGTTTCAGGTACTACACACTTGCCTCTGAGTCTTCCTACCAATTACTATTGTGATTTTACAATCACATTTTCCTGTGTATTTATAAATTTTCCTCTCCTTTGTTGTTGTGTGAAAGTACCACACAAACAGCATAGGAAAACGACAGTACAAGAAACAATTAAACGGATTATACACAAATGCTGTCAAATACACCAAGTAAACAAACTCACAGGTTTCCAGACTTCATTTAAAGGTCAGAAAGGCCCATTTTAATAATCTAGTCTAACCTCCTGCATAACACATTGCAAAGAATTTTACCCAGTAATTCCTACATCATGTCAATAACTTCTCGCTGAGCTACAGCATATTTTCTAGAAAGAACCCAGTCTTGATGTAAAGATTGCAAGTGATTGACAGTCCACCACACCTCTTGGTAATTATCCTGTTCCCTCACTGTTAAAAATACTGCACCTTATTTCCAGTCTCAGTTTGTATAGCTTCAACTTCCAGCCACTTGATCTTGGTATGCCTTTGTATGCTAAATTAAAGAGCCCTCTACTCTCAAAAATCTTCTCTCTATGTAAGTGACACACCCTATGCCCCATGTTCACCATTTTTATATGATTATGATATATTCTGTATAAGGTATGCCTTGTGAGGTATCATTTGAAAACTCAATCTGCTGATTATTATTTTCTGGTTGAAATGTGTGTAAAACTGCATGTAAAATTATGAGATTTTGCTATATAATTGTTAGTGAAATATGTTGTAGTTCTGGGTAACACCCACAAACCAATTTCTCAGAGACAAAGAAACACCACCATGCCAGCAAGGTGCTAAAGGGCCATTACCTGCTTAACTGGCTATTCACCAGCAGGGGAGAAGGTATAAACAAGAAATTTACTTTTCATCCCAGAGACCGTTGGAATCCCAGGTATACAGGGATCTGTTTGTCTATACACTGCCATGGGGTAATCCTCAGAGAGGAGGAGGATATAAAAATAAGGAGACAGTGACCTCCACATCACGCCTCTCTTCCTCTCACCTCTCTGCCCATGGCATCAACAAATATCTGAAAAACGCTGAACTGGCGGAAGGGTCCCTAGCTGAAAGGAAATCCTACACGTATATTCTTACAATGTATGGTGAGAGAGACATTTTGCTTTTACGTTCATTTAGGTATTAGCTTGTGGTTTTATCTTTTTATTTCTTTTGTAACCAATTCTGCTTTTATGCCATATCACTTCAAATCTATCTTTTTCCAGTTAATAAACTTGTTTTACTGTTTTATCTAAACCAGCGTGCTTGGATTGAAGTGTTTGGGAATCTCTACTTAGGATGACATGGTTGCTGCATAATCATTACCCAGTGTTGGAATGATGTACTTACTGTGAGCTTACACTGTCCAGAAAAATACTGAGCAGTGCAAGACACACATTTCTGGGGAACAAAGCTGGGGCTAAGACTGTGAGGGTGTGGCCCTGTATGTAATTCATGGATGGCTGGGAGAGCATTCATGTATTCAGCTGGGAGTGATTTTGCATACTAAAGGCTGTGTGAGCAGGTCAGGAGTGGCTCTTCTGACTGCAAGGCAGTGTAAAAGGCACCCCGGCTAGAGAACTAAGGGGACACAGCTGTTCAACAGTCCAGATTGTACACTGGGGAATGTCACAGAAGGTATTTAAATACCATGATCAAGTCAGCTCTTAATATTCTCTTTGAGCATCTCAGGGGCGTGCCCAGGAATTTAAATACTTTTGGAGGGGCAGGTTAAACACACACAAATGAAAGGTTCGTGTGACCCTACCTCCCATTTCTTGGGACACCTCTGGCAGGGACACCCTGGAGCAAGGAGGAAGCAGCTCCCTCTGCAGCAGTACTCTCTGTGTTCCTGCAGCCTGGGCAGGGAGGAAGCAGCAGGGCAGCTGGTTGCAGGGTCCTCCCCCAACCCCTACAGCAGCAGCCTGCTGGTTCTCTTTCCCTGCTTCTGGAGTCCCAGTGCTGCTGCCTGCTTTACAGACGCCTGCTGAGGTGAGTCAGGGGCTGAAGGCAGAGGCAACATGTGGGACTCCAACAGCAGGGAAGGAGAAGCAGCAAGCTGTAGCTGTAAGGATAGGGAGAGGAGGAGCTCAGCCGGCAGCCAAACCCCCTGCTGCTTCCTCCCTCTCTGGGCTGCAGGAATACATGCAGATTTTTGTGGGGGCCAGTGCCCCTGCTTCCCCCCCTTGTGCACACTCCGACTACATTTTAAATCCTTCACTGTAAAGCAGACAATACAGAAAAATATTTCTCTAATCTCTGAGTTACATAGTAATCTTAGGTGTTACAAGTAACAACCATAGGGGAAAAAAAATCCAGAAGGAAGTATGATTTGTAAAATCATGTCCCTTTTATTTACATAAATAACACAGCTCTTCAGGCAGCAAGAACCAGGAGCAATGACTTACTTTTCCGTTTGGGGTTTGACTTCCCTTCTGTCACCTTCTCTCCTGTGATAGCAGCAAGCTCCGCTTCTAGATCCTCATCACCACCACCACCATCCTCTATATCCAGCAACATTGCTTCAGGATTGAAATCTACAAAGAGCCCCAGCTGGAACCAAAGGAAAATATTCTAGTAAGAACAGAGAAGTCACTCAATCACATCATATCACCTGGGTTATTTAAACATCTCAGTGCATTCTGAATTCAAAGATAACGTGGGTTCTGGCTAGGAGTTTTTAACCACAATCCCCTGTAATTTTGGCTAGTTATATAACACAGACAAGATATACACATAACTGAAACCAGATACACCTCTTTTGAGAAGCAGACAATGAATCCCCTCTCAGACCTTGTCAAGGTTCCTTCCCCACTCTCAACTTTAGGGTACAGATGTGGGGACCTGCATGAAAGACCCCCTAAGCTTATTCTTACCAGCTTAGGTTAAAAACTTCCCCAAGGTACAAACTTTCCTTGTCCTTGAACCATATGCTGCCACCACCAAGCGTTTTAAACAAAGAACAGGGAAAAAGCCCACTTAGAGACATCTTCTTCCCAAAATATCCCCCCAAGCCCTACACCCCCTTTCCCGGAGAAGGCTTGATAAGAATCCTCACCAAATTGTACAGGTGAACACAGACCCAAACCCTTGGATCTTAAGAACAATGAAAAAGCAATTAGGTTCTTAAAAGAAAAATTTTAATTAAAGAAAAGGTAAAAGAATCACCTCTGTAAAATCAGGATGGTAAATACCTTACAGGGTAATCAGATTCAAAACATAGAGAATCCCTCTAGGCCAAACTTAAATTACAAAAAGATACAAAAACAGGAATATACATTCCATCCAACACAGCTTATTTTACCAGCCATTAAACAAAAGGAAATCTAACGCATTTCTAGCTAGATTACTTACTAACTTTACAGGAGTTGTAAGTCTGCATTCCTGATCTGTTCCTGGCAAAAGCATCCCAGACAGACAGACAAACCCTTTGTCCCCCTCCTCCAGATTTGAAAGTATCTTGTTCTCTCATTGGTCATTTTGGGTCAGGTGCCAGCTAGGTTACCTTAGCTTCTTAACCCTTTACAGGTGAAAGGGTTTTGCCTCTGGTCAGGAGGGATTTTATAGCACTGTATACAGAAAGGTGTTTACCCTTCCCTTTATATTTACGACAGGCCTGCACTTAATCAACCTGAATCCTTATAAATAGGTCTAACTGGTATTTGAACTAACAAGGTAAAAGAAATTTTCTGCTTAGCAAGTCTTAACAGAAGCTATGAAATATATTTGATTATTTCTCCTCATATTACCCAGGTATTCTAAACTTGGGCACAGCTAAGATTTCATCTTGAACTTTCATACATATCCACACATTTCACCTCAAAAGGTCCCATATCACTTTGTAAACTATATACACAAAGGAATCATTTCATCCACTGACGTGCAGCCACCTCTGGTGTAGAATCAGCAACAGTTTAACACTGTACTGCACCAATACACAGCTGTTTAGAACAGGAAGCAAATACTATTATAGGCAACAGAAACTACAGGTTGAATTGAGTAGGAAGAATATTATATAAATTAGCATTTGACTAAAACACTGGGGTAAACTCCCCTACTGTTGCAAAAAGTGCCAAAGGACTTTAACAAACAAGGGTGAGGACTTCTGTTTTCTCTATCTAAAAGATGGAACCTCCATAAGTGCAGTAATCCAGGACACTGCGACACTTATCCAGTACTGACTCCGAAATGTCAACCACTGAAATACCAAATGTTTCCCATCATAGTGTTGTCCCGCAGAACTTAGAAGAGTTGACGAGTCACAGCCCAAAATGATAAGGACAAAAAAAGATTTACTGTTGCTTAGCTTTTACCTAAAACTACATAAAGAAATTCTACTGTAAACAAAAATAATGCTGCACAATCCAAAGTGCAGCCTTCTTGAAGAATGTATCATTATATGTGATGCATAAACAATGAAGCGTATCATTTGTTTCTATGACTTTTATAGATACAGAAAAATGTATTACTTTGATAAGGTGAAAGAGGTAATATCTTTTATTCAACCAAGAAGACAATCATAGGCCTCGTATATATAAGTTAGGTTGAGATAAGCAGTCTTATGTTGACCTATTAGCACGTTTACATGTGTAAACATGTGTTTAAAGTGTCCTGTTATGCCGACATAGTAACCCCAGTTCTCTGAGTGGTGTTAAACCAAAGTCGATGCAAGTTAAGCCGACAATCAAAAACTGGCATATTACATCACTTGTGCATGTTCACACAATGCTCCTTCTGTCGGCAGAGCGTGTCTACTATTGGTGTTCTAGCATCGAAAGTGAGAGCAGTGCACTGTGGGCCCGCCAACCACTAGTTGTGGGAAGGCGGAGTGGATCATAGTGCATCATGGATGCGGGCTCAACATCCCATGATGCAGTTTTTTCTGTCCCAGCATTCCATGGGCTTCCAACTACATTTTGCAGCATTTTTCAACAGCCCCTGTTTACTGTGCACACACCATCCCCGTTTGAAAGGATGGATCTTCCACTGCTCTCTACAGTTGTAGTCACTGTTATGAACAAATTGCAGCTGGTCATGTAGAATATCATGAGCAGCCAATCTGAACAGGAATCTCAGAGTTGTATGACCTGCTGTGTACCATGGAAAGAAACAATACCAGATTACTTTTGGTATTCATGAAGCAACGGAATACAGTGGACCATCACTTTTGGGTGCAGGAAACAAGCATTAAGTGGTGGGATCACATCTTTATGCAGGTCTAGGATGACGAGCAGTGACAGCAGAACTTTTGGAGGCAGAAGCCACCTTCCTGGAACTGTGTGCGGAGCTCGACCCAGCAATGCGGTGCAAGGACACCAAAATGAGAGCTGCCCTCTCGGTGGAGAAGAGTGTGGCAATCACTGTGTGGAAGTCAGTGACTCCAGACTGCTACCAGTTAGTCACAAATCAGTATGGAGTCGGGAAGTTCACCATTGGGGCTGCATTAACATAAGTTTACAAGGCCCTTAATCGCCTTCTGCTACAAAGGACTGTGACTCTTGGCAATGTGCGTGAAATATTGGATGGCTTTGCAGCCATGGGATTCCCTAACTGTGGAGGGGCAACAGATGGAACGCATACTCCCATTTTGGCACTGGACCACCTTGCAATGGAGTACATCAATAGAAAGGGGTATTTCTCTATGGTACTGAAGGTGTTCCACTGACATGAACGCGGGGTGGTCCAGAAATGCATGATGCATGTATTTTCAGGAACACTGGTCTGTACAGAAAGCTGCAAGCAGAGACTTTCTTTCCAGACCAGAAGATTCCAGTGGAGGATGTTGAAATGCCCATAGTGATCCTGGGAGACCCAGCACGCCCCTTATTCCCTTGGCTCATGAAGCCTTGCACAGGAAACCTGAATAGCAGCAAGGTGTATCCATAGGGCTCTTGGCAGAGGAGGTGGGTTTGTCGCCAATGATAGCGTCCAGCTCCTTATAGAAGTGGTAGGTCTTTGGCACGACACCAGAGCAATAGTTGGCCTCCTTGCCTTCTGGTATGCCTGCCTCAGCTCCTTTATGTTTTCACGGCACTGATGTGTGTCCCTTATCCAACAAGCCACGAGAAATCTGATTGTAGGTATCAAAGTTCCTACAGCTGGAGCAGAGCTGGAACTGCACAGCCTCCTCTCCCCATAGTGCCAGCAGATCCAACAGCTCAGGTGTGCTCCAAGTGGGAGAGCACTTGCTGCGTGGAGGTGCCATGGTCAGCTGGGAGGATGCGATGTGAGCTCTCCATGCAGAGCAAACAGGAAGTGGAATTTCAAAAATTCCTGGACCTTCAAAGAGGGAGGAGCAGATGCCTGTGTACTTGGGTGCAGGGCAGCGGAGTTCAAACTGCTGAACAGAGCATTCAGAATTGGCATTATTGTGGGACACCTCCTGGAGGCCATTGACAGTGTCATAACAAAGCGTGGTGTCTACACTGATATTTTGTCAATATAACTTTTCCGCAAAAACCTCTCGTCAAGGTGGTTTTATTTTGTTGGCAAAGCAGGAGAGTTTTGTCGGCAGAAGGAGCACTGCAGTGCATACATCTCCACTATTTTGTCGGCAAAACTGTGTAGTGCAGACAAGGCCCTAGAGCAGAGGCTCTCAAACTGTGGTCCGCAGACCATTGGCTCCATTCAGGTGGTCCATGTAGTTCCCTCTAAGGTGCGCGCCTGGGTGGCCGCACGAGAGAATGAAGGGCCACACATCTAATTAGTGTGGGTGCCTGGACCCTGGAGAAGATGCACATGTAAGGTGAGGTGGTGCCCTTGGGGGGAATGGGGTAGGTGGAAGGGGGCAGTGGGATGAGAAGAGGGGGTGGGGGGAATTTGGACGTGCAGGGCTGCGATGGCCAGAGAAAGAAGTGACCTTCCCCAGCTCCAGGGCTGTGGCTGCAGTGGTGGGGAGAGATCCCCCTCTTTCCCAGCCCCAGCTTGGGAGCTGCCATTGCAGGGGAGAGACCCCCCCCCCCTTCCTAGCCCCAGCTTAGGGGCTGCTGTGGCAGGGGAGAGAGGGTACATCTATCGCATTAGAAAGGTCAGACTACTGATATTAAAATATGAGTTGTGTGCTTTTATTTGTAGAACAAAAAAAGCTAATTATTATTAAGGTTTTTTTTTTAATATAGTGCTTTTATCCAACGCGCTTTACAATACTTAGCTAATGGTACAAACAACATTCAGAAAGATCATTAAGTGGTCTGCAGAGACCCTCAGCAATTTTCAAGTGGTCCGCGAAAAAGAAAGTTTGAGAACCACTGCCCTAGAGGATGAAGCACAAGATTGAATGCCCGTATTTACTAATCCTGTCTCTACCTCTGATTCACTGCATGTTGCTGGAAAAGTAATCTTACCTCTCAATAAGAAAAGGAGTACTTGTGGCACCTTAGAGACTAACCAATTTATTTGAGCATGAGCTTTCGTGAGCCACAGCGAGCTGTGGCTCACGAAAGCTCATGCTCAAATAAATTGGTTAGTCTCTAAGGTGCCACAAGTACTCCTTTTCTTTTTGCGAATACAGACTAACACGGCTGTTCCTCTGTTACCTCTCAATGCTTCAGTTTCTCCCCTTCCCCCCATACCATTCCCACCACCTGTAAAATGGGGATAATGCTGCTTCCCACCGCTCAAGGAAGCGGGAGGAGATTAGCAAATGTTTATACAGTGCTTTGAAGATGCAAAGCTCTATATAATGTTATGTACCTTTTACAAATGGGTAAACTGAGGCCAAAGTGTATGTGATTTGCCCACTGTTCCATAGCAAGTTAGTTGTGAAGCCAGCAATGGAATCTAGGGGTATATCTACACAGCAATTAAACACCCGCTGCTAGCCCAGGTCAGCAAAACTGTGGTGTACACATTCAGGCATGGGCTGGAGCCCGAGCTCTAGGACCCTGCGAGGGGGGAGGTTCCATGAGCCCAAATGTCTACACCACAATTTTACAGCCCATTAGCTGCCCATTTACTGACACAAGCCAGTGGGGAGGGGGAGGGTGTTTAATTGCTGCGTACACACACCCTAGGAGTTCTGGCTCCAACTTCCTTGTTGTGTGCAGTAAACCACACTTCTGTTGAAGTCAATGAATATCAAACAAGTGCTTTAAATAGGAAGGAAGGAAAAGAGGGGAGACAAGGACAGGACTGAACCAGGAAGAAATGCAGCGAGCACACTGTAAAGCACAAATGAGCTCTACAGAACATGCTCATTTATGGCTGGAAAAGACACTGGAGAAGATATTGTAGGAAACAATCTTACATTTGCCACGACATGAACTGGATGATTTAAATATGCTTTTCCTATTTTTGATCCTATAGGACTGATCAGGTCCTTTGATTTACTGGTTATCCATTTACATTTTATTTCTTTTAAATCTTCTTTGCTTCTTTTGATCTTTGTATTTTTTCTTTGTCCAAATGAAATAAATAAAATGCATATATTTTAATTTAGACATTGAAACTCTATTGCTAAAGTAATGGTAGCATTACGAATACACTGACACGCACATAGCGAGAAAAGACATAAGTATTGCTAACGTGGTGGGGAAAAGCACCTAATCTCAGCTCCTATGCACTTAGCGCTCTGATTCCAACTAATCTGAATTCATTTAGAAATGGACGGAGAATTGATCAGCTGTACCATTTTTTCTCTACTAAAAATACATTAGCTCCTGTTCCAGTAACCCCCCATTTTCGCTATTTTCTCCAGTCCAGTGTACCTTTCAAGTGTAGACAAACCAAAGCCACGGTCTCCCAGTTTTGCCTTGATACTCGCTGTTTTCCTATTTCATCTCCACATTTGCTTCCCCTCTCCTGAGTACAACTCAAGCTTCTTTTCATTTTCAAAGGCTTCATAATTTTATTCCCTGCCTGTGTCTCACTACTCATTTCTGGATGCACCCCTTCTTAGAAAGGATACTCTCCTGACTCCGCACTTTGGCTTCTTCTTTGTACTTCTGACATCGTCACACTATCTCCAAAGTTTGCAAAGTTCAACAAAGCCAAGCATTCCTAAAATTATAACTATAACTATCCCACAAAGATTAAAATTTCCTCACAGCACAATCCACTTATCACATATAGTTACTCAAATGTACATGGACCTGCTGTAAACAGCCGCAGACAAACACCTATGTGGACTCAATACCCCTGGATAGAAGTCATAAATACAACAGTGGAGCACAGGCAATGCCAGTCCACAAACAACCACAGAACAGAGGGAACTAAGTTAAAACTACTTGTCTAAGTAGTGGCAGGATTTACTCTTCTCCAAGAGGATCATCCAGTGCCACTAAGATAGTCATTAACCATTCTGATTTTCACAGGTCTGTACTTGATTGATGTTATAAAAATTTTGAATGTTAGCTTGAGCAGGACCGTATTATAATCAGGTTGCAAGGCAAAGTTCACAATGTTGTGACAGGATGAACTTGGTCTTGTGGCAAGTCTGTATTTTTAATGCCTTAATCAGCATGGTATATGGATGTCAGTCTCTGCTACTAGAAGATAAACTAACTAGGGTGGGGAAAGCAGAGAACAACTAATTGTATAGAAAGGTTTGTAGGATGCCCTGCAACTCTGGAATCATGTTAGCCCAAGGAAGAATCACAAAGCAGGACCCCAAGTGTGCAAGCTTTTAACCAGACTATAAAGTGTGAGAAAGGAGGTTTCTATACCTGCTTTGCAGCAGCAGCTCCCTGGCCCTTTGCCTGGGGACTTTTCCTGGGTCTTCTCCCAAGCATGTCGGCTCATGAATCTCAAACAACTCTACCTTTAATGGACACAAAAAGAACCCCACATATACATAGGTTAAGACATTGACATCCAGCTGAGATACATGACAGAAGCCTATAAGCCAACCTAACCCAGTTGGAAAGCTGGGCACAGCAGCCTGTAGCCCCACAGGTTACAGCTCCACACCAAAGACTCCACCCTGTAAGCACCCCCCAGGGTCACTATACCTAACCCCGTAACCCCCCTCCCCAGATTACTATATCCACTCCACAGATCAAGGACACCAGTCTGTAACCACCAACCCAGGGTTACTATACCCACCCGCCCAGACCAGGTTACCACCATGTAATCCCCACACCAGGGATACTACACCCACCCTGCAGACCAGGGACACCACCCTGTAACACCCTGCAAATTACTAAACCCCTCCCAAGATCTGGAGCCCGGCACAGGAGCCTGTCCCCCCTCCCTCCAAGTTCTCCCCCCCCCCCCCCGAGCCGGGTACAGGAACCTGTCCCCTCTCGCCCCCGGTTCTCCCCACCCCCACCCCTGAGCCGGGTACAGGAACCTGTCCCTCCCCCACCCCGAGCCTAGTTCAGGAACCTGTCTCCCCCGAGCCGGGCACAGGAACCCCTCGCCCCCGGGTTCTCCCCCCGCCCCCGGAGCCGGGCACAGGAACCCCCCGCCCCCGGGTTCTCCCCTCGCCCCCGGAGCCGGGCACAGGAACCTGTCCCCCCGGGGTCCCTCCCCGGAAGCCGTTCCCAGGAGCCGGCCTCCCGCGCGAGTTCCTTCCCCGCTCCCAGACCTGGAGCCCGGCACCGCGGCTAGCGCTCCCTGTCAGGGCAAGGTGGGGGCCGGGTGGAGACAAGCAGCGGGCAACGCCATGTAAATAACCGACTCCCTCCCCCGCGACGCGGGGCAACGGGGCCTGTGCCGGCTGCGGGGAGGGGACAGAGGCGACACCCGGCCTCCGCCTCCGCACACAGCGTGACGCGACTGGCCTACCCTGGCCCAGCCCCAGCGCCCAGGAGACCCTCAGGAGGCGCGCGCCCGCCGCCACTCCGCCAGAGGACGCGGCTCCGAGCTCAACGCACGCGCAGGCGCAAAGCTGAAGGGGCTGGGGCCAGGAATGAGAGAGGGGCGGGGTTACGAGAAAGGGGCGGAGCAGAGATGGGGAGGGCCATAAGGAGGGGTCAGGCGGGGTGGAGTTTTAGAGGGGCCATAGGGTCTTGCAATATGGTCGCGGAGTGAAGTTTGGAGGAGTGGATCCAGTACAGGGAGAGCGGTAAGTGGCTAGGTAGAACCAAACCCAGGCCCCTGAACACTGGTTCAGGGGCAGAGGGAAGCATAGAGCAAAGAACAGGGCCTAGATAACCACTGGGATGCCCAAGGGAGGGATAGTTATTTATTGCCATAGTTTAGCCTGAGACAGTTAGTTGCCCTTAGAACTATTTTCCAGTCTTTGCCAGCAAGTCCCAGTCATACCTTTTGCAGCAGATGACAGTTCCCTGCAGTTAAAGTCATGGCCAGCCAGCAACTACACTAGTTTTCTTAAGCAAGTACGTATGGATTTGGTGCCTGATAGACACCCAAGCTTAACATTGGCCTAAAGGTCACTGAACCAGAGACAGCACCTCTGTTTGTAAAGGGCAAAGCAGACAGTCAGTGATCCACAGACACTGGTCCTGTGTATGCCTTGGATTCTCTCTCCCACCCCCCCACCCTGTTTTGTTTTTTTTTTAAATTAAAGCTGTTTCTAGCATTTGATTGTGAAGATAGTTCACACCTCAAAGCTATTTTTTTTTTTCAGACTCTAGAAAATTCAGTGTCTACTTGGCCTTCCAACTGTGAACTATCATTCTTACTAAACTGGGAGTAGTGGTAGATACACTGGAGGGCAGGGATAGGATACAGAGGGACCTAGACAAATTGGAGGATTGGGCCAAAAGAAATCTGATGAGGTTCAATAAGGATAAGTGCAGGGTCCTGCACTTAGGACGGAAGAACCCAATGCACAGCTACAGACTAGGGACCGAATGGCTAAGCAGTAGTTCTGCGGAAAAGGACCTAGGGGTGACAGTGGACGAGAAGCTGGATATGAGTCAGCAGTGTGCCCTTGTTGCCAAGAAGGCCAATGGCATTTTGGGATGTATAAGTAGGGGCATAGCGAGCAGATCGAGGGACGTGATCGTCCCCCTCTATTCGACATTGGTGAGGCCTCATCTGGAGTACTGTGTCCAGTTTTGGGCCCCACACTACAAGAAGGATGTGGATAAATTGGAAAGAGTCCAGTGAAGGGCAACAAAAATGATTAGGGGTCTGGAACACATGAGTTATGAGGAGAGGCTGAGGGAACTGGGATTGTTTAGTCTGCGGAAGAGAAGAATGAGGGGGGATTTGATAGCTGCTTTCAACTACCTGAGAGGTGGTTCCAGAGAGGATGGTTCTAGACTATTCTCAGTGGTGGAAGAGGACAGGACAAGGAGTAATGGTCTCCAGTTGCAGTGGGGGAGGTTTAGGTTGGATATTAGGAAAAACTTTTTCACTAGGAGGGTGGTGAAGCACTGGAATGCGTTGCCTAGGGAGGTGGTGGAATCTCCTTCCTTAGAAGTTTTTAAGGTCAGGCTTGACAAAGCCCTGGCTGGGATGATTTAATTGGGGATGGGTCCTGCTTTTGAGCAGGGGTTGGACTAGATGACCTCCTGAGGTCCCTTCCAACCCTGATATTCTATGATTCTTCATTCATCTCACTGGACTTACTATTAGTTTTCAGAGTTGTTATTTAAAGCCAATTTTATTAACTATTTCACTGCTGATAATTTTAGCAGAAATATGCAACTATGATGGTTTATTCCATCCTAAACTGCTACCCCCCACCTTCATGTGCCAAAAGTTCTAAATATGCCTACCTAATTACCAAAACCTTCAGATTTACAGTCCACAATGCAATTGTGTTAAACACCAATCAGTGGCAAATTTGAAAATTTAGACACAGAATAAAAACAAAATATTGTACCGTTTTATTCTTTAAATCATGACATCCATATTTACATTTTCCCTAAGGCTGCTTTGAAGTTCCAGTCTCCCACAGAAACTGGGGTCTTGCTATGGAATTTAGATCCAGTCTGCCACAATATTTTGGGTTATGAGTTACTGTAGAAACTGATGAGTTCCTAGCTCTCAACTAGTGTCGATTCCATAAAAACTCATTGTGAGGTAAACCCTCTATCTGTACAGTAAGCCATTCCCACATTTTCTAAACTGAAGTCACTTAGTACAAGCTTGAACTATTTTTGCAGCACGTTTCACGCTAATAAATCATTTTAAAGTGATTAAAATGTCATTTAAAAATAGCAGATCAAGATATCTTCAGTAATTTTGGTAATTTTTTTCTCAAGTACAATTTCACACTGAAAACACAATTTAACCAAACCTCCGTCAGCTATCTTCAGGCAAATCCTCTGAAACTCTTCTTTGTAACAGATAAGTATGCTTAAATTCAAAGTGAAATGTAAAGCTCATTCTTCTATGAAAATACAAATTTCCACTGGCATTTTTATTTCTGGTAGCAAACACTCATGCTCCCCCCACCTCTTTTGGCCTTGCCTACAGCTCTGTATACTTTCACTGCACATAAGGCTATGTTTTAGTCATAGGTATTTTTAGTAAGTCACGGACGGGTCACGGGCCGTAAAAACTCACGGCCCGTGACCTGACAATGATTTATAATGTATAACCCTAACTAAAACTTGTGCTGGGGGCTGCAGGTGCTCTGGAGGGAAGGCACGGGGGTGCCACAGGGCAGACGGCAGCGTGAGTGCTGGGGGGGGAGGAAGGACAGCAGCACGCGGTTTGGGACCCCTGCTGGGGTATGGGGGAGGGTTGGCGGGGCTGACAGGCTCCCTACCTGGCTCTGCGCAGCTCCGTGGAAGCGACTGGCATGTCCCTGCAGCTCCTAGGGGGAGGGAATGCCGGGGGGCTTCGCACACTGCCCCCACCATGAGTGCTGGCTCCGCAGCTCCCATTGGCCAGGAACCGCAGCCAATGGGAGCTGCGGGGGCAGTGCCTGCAGGCAGGGGCAGGGCAGAGGCCCCTATCCCCTCCGCCTAGGAGCTGCAGAGACATGCCAGCCACTTCCAGGGAGCCCCCCCGAGCCCTGAGGTAAGCACCTCCCCGCACCCCAACCCCCTGCCCCAAGCCCCCGCCCACACCCAAACTACTACTGCTGCTGCTGGGATGGGGAGGGTTGGGTGCGCAGTGGCCCAAGACTGCCCCAGCAGCATCTGGTGTGGCTGGCCCAGGGGCTGCCCAAGCTTCTCAGGCAGCCCCGGAGTCAGCCACACTGGCCGCTACAGAAGTCACGGAGATCACAGAAAGTCATGGAATCCATGACTTCCGTGACAGACACGCAGCCTTACACATAAGCAACAGATGAGAAATTTAAGTTTAGAACATGTTTGAAAAGTGTTAATCAGGTCTCACGTATCCAGTTGAAATTTTAGAGGGAAAATTACCTAAATTGCAGTTTAGTAAAGATACCCCTACTCTTGCAAAAAGTGCTTTAGCATCTTTAGCAACCACAAGTGGTCAAAATCTGTTTTCACATCTTTCCACGGCTTATTTGAAAGAGGGCACCTTCCACTTTGTTTCATGGCACTCTTTCAAGTACTGGCTCAGAGGAGAGAGTGCTACCTACTGAACATACCACTTACTGCAGCACCGAAAAACATTCAAAACAAGTGATTTAAATGCAAAGGTATAAAACACTTAGTAAGGAATTCTTTATTATACAAAAAAGTGCTTTAATAGATTAAAAATTTAAGCAAAGAGTTTAAAAACAATGGTTTCTGGTATGTTCAATTTTTATCAACACAACTTTTTAAAACCAGTCTTTTTAAAAGTTTAACAATATTTAAAATATTTACACCTACAAATATACACAAAACCTCTGTTGCCTTATTCCTGCTTGAGTGCATACATGACATCATCTTGGCTGATATTCAGGCGCACCCGCACGTGCAGGTATTTATTACTGGACTCTACCAGCAAGAAACGGCAGGCACCAAGTCTTGAGCAAATTGCCATAATTTCTGATACCGTAGGAATTTGCAGACCTTCAATCCTACACAGTGCTACATGCTGATGATAGATCTAGAGGAACAAGATACAACTCAATTTAGACACTATATTAGATTGGAACAGGAAACAGAAGAGGTGGAAAAGATGGGCTTTCTACTCTCAACCTCTATGGATGGGGAGAAACAAACAATTGAATCTGTTTGGAGTGAAGATGACACACATGCTGTTGAACACAGAACATTAGGACTATGTCCATGAAATAAGAAATTGTAACTCAGCTAAATTTCCTCTATGACCCAACCATACAAATACATACAATAAATTAGGATGCCAGCATCTATGTTTTTTTGTTC